TCGGTGACGAAAAGTAGCTCACGAACAGTAGCCGCAGCGAAGTGCCAAGTTAACAAAGACTTGCTAATGGTCAAAGAGCTGCAGCGAGCTCGGTGCTATGCATATAAGTATGTGTTAGGTTGAAAAGAAAAGAATGTCGCTTTTTCGGTTTCGCTAAAGTTGATATCTCTCAAAAACTAAGCCATAGCCGAGGACAAAATTTGACGCTTCGAGTTTTGAATGTTTATACAACGGCATGTGTGGGAGGGGCCTAGACCTACTAGGGGCGAAGTTTGCCATTTTTTCTTTATTTCCAAGCGTGAAAAAAAGTGGCAAGTGTATCTAAGATTGCATGAGTTTGTTACATGCAGAAGCAAGTGGGAGTTTCGTAGGATTTTTGGGGCGAAAATCCGATTTTTGGCTTCATGAGTTGCTCTTATGTTTTGTCTCCATATTTTTGGGTAGATCATGGTTTCTGCCGATGTTTAATGGTCATCTTGTAAAGCTTCTTCTGCCCTATCGATTTTTATCCCTCATATATTTTTTGGATTCGTCTCGTTGCTTTGCTATAGAAAAAAAAAGCATCCTTTTCTTTCCAATCCAAAATATTGCGTTCTGATCGGTTTTATGACACTTAGTAGTGATATATTCGCCATGATAGATAATTATTTTATGAGATCTAAAACCTAATGCAACCGCCAAATCAAGTATTATCATCGACGTAGCATGCTTCACATAGTCACTCTCTATACTCAGATAGTCGTCTTTTTTTCATGATTCAGAACGAAAACTATTAGGCCCGTATGCACGTACATCCCCGCTGGGGAGGAGAGGGGATCTGAGAGGGGATGCGTCATATCTCGCTACTTTACGTATCTTTCTTCTTCCTTTTCTATCTTGCTTATAAAGGTTCTCATACCCTACTACCTGCGCATAATCGATGCCAGGTTACAGGCATAACTGATTAGATTTGTACTATTTTGTGTGATCCCCTGGGGATCCCCAGGGGATCACCTCTCAATTTCAAAGTCATTTATCTTTCTGAGAAATCAATAAAAACGCCGCAAAATTGTACTGAGGATATACTACGGCACTGCTAAGCATGTTTAAAGTAAAAATAAGTGAAATCTCAGGACATCGAAATCTTCGTTAATCCCTGGCTCAAAAGCTAGGGATCATCGAAAAATTCACAATCTTCAGATTCCATTTTTTTTCTGTCGAAAACATGCTTAGCAGTGCCGTAGTATATCCTCAGTACAATTTTGCGGCGTTTCCATTGATTTCTCAGAAAGATAAATGACTTTGAAAATAAGAGGTGATCCCCTGGGGATCCCCTGGGGATCCCCAGGGAATCACACAAAGTAGTACAAATCTAATCAGTTATGCCAGTAACCGGGCATCAATTATGCGCAGGTAGTAGGGTATGAGAACCTTCATAAGCAAGATAGAAAAGGAAGAAGAAAGATACGTAAACTAACAAGATATGGCGCATCCCCTCTCAGATCCCCTCCCCTCCCCAGCGGGGATATACGTGCATACGGGCCTTAGTGCCACTTAAGTTTCAAGCTCGGAAAAGGCAGTCTTGTTTACCGCCAAGTCAACGCTAAATCAGTACGGATGTCCTTTTCTGACTGTTAATTATGCATCCCAAAGCGGACGCGCGATTGTCCAGCTTTCGATGTTTAACGGCCGAATCTCGTGTTTTCAGCCGTGAGAAAGTGGTCTAATACTCGTAATTCAATTTCTTTGCCCATGCTGAAGTCGTCAAAGATACCCTCCATCCCGATTCTCGGCCTTCTCATGTCCTGATTCCGAACATGAAATTGGACGCGAAAGCCTCGACAACCTCCGTTCCGGGAGAACCCATGGGAGGGGGGGGGGGGCTACTAGTCTTATGCTGCCAAAAGTTCAAGGCCCCTAACTTAGAATGAACATTGCTTGCGAGTTTTTTCAATCTGAATTTTATATTCGTCGTTAAGCGGGCTTGCGTTTTCATGAATCTCATACCTCTTTGTCCATTTTGCACTAACAAGGGAAGAAGGTCGAAGTGGCCATTTGAAATGAGATGTACTGTATCTTGTAGAGCTTGGGACGCTGATTCGAGTTCTTCCTTCGCTATCGGCTGAGGGCTTCTGAGGAGGAGTTATGAAGGTTTTTGTGAGTAGAAAATTAAATGCAAGATAAGTGTAAAATCAAACATAACTTTTCTTTAGCTCAACTGATAGTCGAGTCACTCGGTGTAATAATTACTTTTGATTCAAATATATCACTTCGCTGCTGCCTCATTCAAACATTAGGAGAAGGTTACGACTGATTTTACTCTAATCTTGCATTCAATACACTAATCTTGCATTCAACTTTTTACCCGCAAAAACCTTCCCCACTGCAGATAGCAAAGATAGATTTGGGCACATCTCGTCTTAAAAGGCCTCTTCGACCAACCTTCCTTCCCTTGTAAGACAGTTGCACGAACAGTTTGCTGATAAATCTATTGTCACAGAAGATAACTCTCATTTTCTCAAATATTCCGGCCCTTGAACTACGCTCTTTCGATCCATTGATGCTTTCCACATATCGCTCTACATCTCTGCGTTATATGGTGTGCGAGTTTCCGAGTTCGCTTCCCTGCTTGACAGATCGTTGCAAAAATGAACAATGCGAAGTGCCTTTTGAGGTCACAACCTCGCTACGGCTAATCGTACTTTAAGTGGGTATCCCCTTTGTCACGAACCTTACGAGGACTTCTTTGAAGCGTTTTGATCCACTTTGTGCAAAATCGGAGTCGGTAGTAAATTGCCCCAAACTTTAGTTCAAAGTTGCGCGTAAAATCAAAAAGTGTGAGTTCCGCTCTCAAAATCGTAATTCCAACACCTAACCCCTCCCTCTCTTTATTAGTGTTCACTTTTGAAGTGTCATTAGACTTAGAAAAAGTCGAAGATTTCTACCATTAACAAAACCAAAATTTAAAGTAATTCTAGTTTTTCGTAATTGGGATTTTTGAGCATTTAAACAGAATTTCAATTGGATTAAATTTCGTATCTTCGACTTCGACTAAATATTCGAAATTTGGAAGCCATTCAACAATTCCCGAATGATGAGTTCAAAGAATTTTAAGGTTATTTCTGTAAGCTTCCAAGACAAACGCCAATTTTTTTCATAAAATAGGCAAATTGATGCTTGACGTGACAGCTTTGAAGCAATGTAAACACATTAAAAAGTAATGCACCAAAGAAAAGAGCTACGAAATGATTTTTTCAGTACTCTTTCCTCGATTTATAGTTTTTGCCTATTTACCTAAATGCCTACCGTAACACAGTTCATAAAAATTGAAAAAAGATAGAATATTTTGACTAGCAAATGGGATAAGTGCCATTATTTTTCCAAATGACATAGAGCATTGAAACAGAAAGGTTATCATTGATCAAGTATGTGCACATCTTTTTAGGACACCTCGCAGGTGTGTGTAACTAAATATGTATAATTTGCATTTATATATCCAAGTTACGCTTATTCGATTCGTACGTTGCGAGCAATTGAGGTATGGTGTGACATTTTATTTTATTTTTAGCTGTAAAATGCTGACTTTAGGTGAATTTCTATTGTTTTATTGTAGTGTTTAAGAAAACATCAGCGCTTGAGAGCAAATTAGGAGGCTAGATGTTATTTTAATTTATCTTGCAATACATTCAAGCACAGCGGGCCTTATCATACGCGTTTGCTGAAAAGCGTGTAAGTGCGGAACAGGACGAGATTACAGCTACTGGTTTGGGAATGCATCTGCAAGCTCGCGCCTGTAACTGGTTCAAAGCAGATGTTCTCAGGCTGCAAAACATTATCTGACCAGCATCCTCCGATCTGATGGAATTGCGAACATTGAGAACTTACTGCATTGGTCAAATTCACTCAGAGAATTGCTCATCTTGTTAGACAAGCCTATGTTTGTCCACTACTTTTTCATCCATTTTCTCAAGTTATCCGCAAAAATCGTGTTGACCACGAATCGTTTTATTGCTTACTGTCGTGTTTGTTCGTTGTTTTTGTGGATATTCTAGAAGATGAATCTTCATACACTATTCTTCTTGGACACCTTCGTCCTTTATTGAAACCGTGCTAGCTAGCACCTAAATCGTACATCAATCCGATAAGCATTTCACTTTTTTCTAATCCTAATTCAACGAACCAACAAGGGAAGGATACCTGGTGTCTGTGGCCATTCAAAATGGTACGTACTACAAGATGCATCTCCATATCAGCCATCGCTATCTGCGAAACGATCTTCTGAAAGAATTTATGAAAGTTTGTTAAAAGAAAAATTATTCAAGTTGTCGAAGTCGTTAATCTGAACTTATGCCTGATGTGGCGGATTATAATCTGAAGCAGAGAACTATTTGTTGAGAACAAATCATGCAAATTTAGCTGTTAGAAAGCATGAAGATTTTGCACTGACTATTTTGACTCTTTGCAAAAACGCAATTTTTTCTTGAAGGAGTAATCGTAAATCCAACCAAACCATCGTTTTGCAGATAGAAAGGGGCTAATCAGGGATGGCCACGATCATGATCATCAAATATCCTTTCCTTGTAAGAGGAGCTGGATACCTAATGGCTTACCATACAGAAAATTCGGTTGAGAAAAGACTGCCAAGTAGTTTTCTAAGCATGAGATGTAAACTCTTTGTGTTTTTTTGGAAGTTATTCAGCACCTTCGGTTTGGCGGCCAATACTAGCTCCTTAAGAATTTTGCCATTTCAGCTCCGCCAACGCCTTCCCTCTTCTCATTCTCACTTGAGTAGTCTATGCGATTCCTTGTTCTTATAAATGTTGCAGGCCATAAAAGGCTATAAAATCTCCTTGTCCATCTCCCTCGAGCCCATCCGCGCACTACAAGAAATCGTAAACTGTTCCAATTCACGATTGCCTGTTTCTTCAACCGCAGGCGTTCGCTCCATCGCTCTCCATTTCTTTCCTTGCGCCTTGTTTTGTAAGAAAATCCATAAACGGACGCAGCGTTCTCATTTCAAGATTCGGCGTTCTTCCACTCTTCAAATGCGTTGAATCCGTCTCTTTCCTAATCGCTTGGGAGCATGACCACAAGCTCAACATATGTGGTGAGATTTCCGTGATTTTAGAATCAAGATTTCTTTGTTTTTTTTTGTTACAGTCGTTGCTGATAGTAGCATTCATAGTGGTCGTCTCTTACTATTTCTACAAAAATCACAAGTATCTGACCTATGTGGAAACGTCGGACACATTCGACCAGCTTTATCTATCCCTCGCTCCCACAAGTAGGACTGAATAAGATTTTTCTCAATTACATTCGTACTCGTTTCCTAGTGTTGAGCTCGATTATGGAAAACACCTGCAAGTGGCCGGTGCTCCCAACTGTGGAAGTGAAAGTGCCGAATTTCTCGCATCGTTCCAAGTGAGTTTTACTTTTTTGAATTAGTCTTAGGTCTTTATGGAAGCTCGAAACTTTCTTATCTTCATGAACTTGCTTAGAATTGCCTGTACATAAAATCCAGCTTATTCTCTCAAAACAATGTGCTTTCGTATATTACGTTGTTCTGAAAGGAACCACCTCTTGCAAAAAAAATTGTTTCCTTTTTTTGCTTCTTCGCAATATAAAGCTGGGTGTCCTATATAGTTTTCCTTTCTGTTGACTCACTGCTTGGTTTTTGTTCTCGTTGACTCTTTCTCGTTTTACACTTCTTCCTTAGAATGTAGTAATTTTCAATGAATCTTCACCAGGCACTTTGCTGTTCAAAATCACTTTTAAATTATGAGTAGCCGCATGCTGGTCATAGCTGCTCTTAGTTGAGGAGAAAATATTTTACAGAATATTAGGTCGTCTCATGAGTTTCTCCGATTTTAACAAAATTACACTATTTCCGTTTCTTTCTTCCACTGAGAAGGAAAGGATACTAACTTAGATTCGTCTTTTGGAATGTGACACACACAGTTGGAATCAGCTTGGAACGCTGATTCCAAATATGCTGCTCCTAGCTGCTTAGCGTTAATCTGAAGCGAGTTATGGTCTCTTTTCTATGCAAAGTTTGCGCCCCCCTGGACCTACTGATGCTACGGTGTCGACGTCCAGGTGTTTTTGCAATTGTATAATGCTCCCTTTCAAGATTGAAAGAATTAATCTGACGCTAATGTAACATCCTAGCACTTTTTTCGAGCAGATTCTTGTCTACACGCCGTCTTACGAAGTTCAGAAGTTTGTTAGTTTCGCATAACAGCAAGCCCATAACTTGCTTTGGAATAATGCTATGCAGCTAACGATAAGAACAGCATATTTGGAATCAGCGTTCAAAGCTGGCTCCAAATATATGTGTCCCATCTTCAGAAACGGATCTAAATTGGTATCCTTCCCTTGTGAGTGCAGCTTGGGGTACTATTTGATAGAGCAAAACAAGCTTTGCATATTATCAACGCATCCGCCTAAATTGTTTTCTACGAAGTTCATAGCTACTTTCTATGCTTTGGACCGAATCGAATAAATATTCGACTATTCGAATAAATTTTATTCGAAAATCGATTATTCGAAAATTTCAAAATCTCGAATATATTCGATATTCGCTTATTCGAAACTTGTCAATTTCGAATTTATTCGACTATTCGGTTAATCGAAATTTTTGATTTTCGAAAATATTTGAACATTCGAATATTTATTTTCAGAGGTTATTCGATTATTCGACAATTTCGTGTAATCGAATAACTACATACAGCGTCACAATTTTGAGTGTTATATCAGCAACCATCGTTTGTTGTCCAAGTTGCCCACTGCATGGAGTCCTTCACTGTGCTAATTCGTTTGAAATTTGTTTCAATATTCGACATATTCGATGCAAAATATTCGTTTTTCTAATATATTCTACTATTCGGGGTTTTTTTTTCATTTCGAATATATTCGATATTCGATTATTCGACGATTTTCTTACTTCGAAAATATTCGATATTCGATTATTCGACATTTTTGTTTTCCGAAAATATTCGATATCGAATATTCGACATTTTTTGTTTTTGAAAACATTCGAAATTCGATTATTCGATTTTTTCGATTTTCGAATATATTCGGTTATTCGATTAGTCGAAAAAATTCTTGAATATTCCAAAGTATACTACTTTCTGGTAGTAATTAGAAACCGAATTAAGCTCCATTCTTAACGTACCTCCGTTGCAAACATCGTGCAAATCCCCCATTTAACGTATACCTGTTACATATCGGGACGCAGCTCTTACCCAACAGCTGCTCACGACATACATCAAGCATTTTATCATACAGTTCCCATGTTTTTCCGTGCGAAGTAAAAGAGATATGATGGACGAGCGGGGGGGGGGTGGGAAATGGTATACTCCGTTGTGTTTCTTACCTATGTAATTATAAACATTGCATTCAGAAGTACGGTCATATATTGTACTGTCAGTGTCAAAATTGTAAGAAAATTGTGCTACAGCCTAGTAATGGAAAAGGCTGAAATACAGCTTACTTATGGAACAACTTACAAAAGCTTTACCTTTTCATTGACCCCTACCATTTTGAGAACTTTTCTGAAAGTAAAGTCTCCCTATAGAGTAAACTAAATATAGTTTTGGCAGAGGCTAACTGGTTCTCATTACTCAAGTCATAATTATAATATATGTATGCCAAAGCCATTTTTCTTGATCGTAAGTTCACTGACACCCCACGTTCCTACTTGTGAATAAATTTTTGTCCCCCCCCCCCCCTTTTCCCCTGAGGATCTTTGCGCGAAACCTTGCCGTTAGCCGCGCACTCTGGAAATTTTTGCGGATGCCTCCCAAAATTTTTGAGGGCCCATAGCCCTGAAAATTAGACGAAAGGGGGTGGCTGCGGCCACGGTTTAGAAAATAATTTTGTTACAAGTTTAACTTGATTTTTTTTTAAATTTTAAAAATTATTCAAATTGTGTACCAGTACAAAGAGTCACTCGCACCTTTGAACAGAAAGGATTGAATTCGGCATTTTTAACACGTTGACGACAGTGCCGCGCAATGGTGCGCGGCAGGCAGTCTGTCCCTGTGGACGACGCCGCGCAATGGTGCGCGGCGGCCTTAATTTCAATACTATCTGTCCAATCCTCTTAGTTTTTGTTCATATAATTAACATAGGCTCAGATATGCTTCATATATTAGCTCCGCCCCTTTTGGCAAACTCCGCCCACTCCTATGCCTCCCACAAGAGAAATTTTTGTTCATAAAAAGCATGGATGAAGCCGTAAATGAACGCAAAGACTTCAAACAACTTTCAGCCAGGCTCCGCGCACCTTCAGGCAAGCTCCGCCTCCTAAGTGGCAAGCTCCACCCCCTAATTGGCAAGCCCCGCCCACTTTTCAAAAATGCCTGAATTTGCACGAATTCATTGATTTTGGGCAATTTCCAGCATTTTTGAAAAGTGGGCGGGGCTTGCCGGAACCGCCCCGCCCACCTGCATTTTTGTATCTCACGCATAGATGCATGCATACATACATGCAGCCAGCTGTGAAAGTGCGGGGAAACGGTTCGTCCACAGGGACAGACCTTCAAAAAATGGCTCGTCGTCAACGTGTTAACACCGTCTGCGGGCATAGTTGAAGGCATTGTGTTTCATATTCGAAGAGGCTAATGCGTGAGGCCTTTCACAGTGAATTGCGGAGGCCTATCGAATATCAAGTCTGTGCTTTTATCTTCCCAGACTGTTGGTTCCAATATACCACGCAGGGTAGAGGACCTGTGGCCGTACTCATCAACGAAACCCGTGGATTCCAGAACCCACTGGGTTAGTGCTTTTGATGAATATCGATTCTTCCCTGGAGTAGAATCGATATTCACCAAAAGCACTAACCCAGTGGTTTCGGAACCCACGGGTTTCGTTGATGAATACGGCCGCTGGTCAGCCCACGGACGGGATCGAGCTTTGGTCCAACCTGCTCATCATAGGTGCGATGGGGTGATCGGGGTCCCTCCAAAGTGAAGGGTGTCCCAGCCGATTTTGGCCCTCAAAAGTGAAGAGTGTCTAAAAAGTGCCGGCGTCGACCGGGGGGGGGGACTGAAAAAATGGTGAAAATTATAAAATTATCCAGTTTGAATGGTCAAATTCGCTAAACTGGATTTGTATGAAATATAATTAGTGACATGTCTATAAGCATCATCGGCTCCACGATTCGTGTAGAGGCGGGGTTTTGCCAACTCAAAGCGTGGCGGTTTTTGATAGCGAGAGAGTACAAAAAACAATGGTATGACGTGGAGGTTTAACAAGTTTACCTGTGTTATCAGGCAAAGTCTGCAATACACCTCTACACGATTTTTCGGTGAGAGGATGCATGTTTAGGTGGGTGGAACGTGTGATGTTGTAATTGTGATTTCGACCGAAAATTGCAATGGACAATGGCAGACACTCGAGGCCCGGAAGGTGCTGAATGAAGTTTTACTTGGATATTACGAATGTGGATAATGATAATAAGAGACTTCGCGATGATTAGGAAATATCCTACTATAATAACGCGCTAAGGGTGTTTACGTTTTTTTGTGTGTGTGTGTGTCTGAATGTCTGTCTGTCACGAAATTCATAGCGCAAGTTCCAGCAAAGGTCTTGAGCCCAAATTTTGCATAGCGCATGCTACCAGCATAAAAGTCCACCATGCGAAAGCACGAGCGGATTTGTTAGGTGGATCCCTCAGAAATTGCGCGTCAGCCGGGTCCACTTTGCATTTGGCCCCCGAAATTAGGTCCGTAATTCCACTTTTTGCAGAGTCGTGGACGTTCATGGCAAGTAAATGTGCAAGTCATGGACTTAGGCCCAAAAAAGTGATCAAAAGTCCATTACTTTGCAAAAACTGCGCTAAAAAGTATTGGTTGAGTAAATGGTCAATTTATCAAGGTTCTACCAGAGCATTTGGCGAGATTTTTGCACAAAGATATATCTCACGGTGACTGCTGTTCTTATTGCAACTGTCAAGACATGGTAAAATCAAAAACCTATAAAAATTTGGGTTTGTTCTCCTGCAAAAAGTCTCATCCACGCAAAATCACCGATTTCACATGAAAAAGCTTTCGGAATGAGTAGTTGTTTACATTTTGTTCGTGATAGTCGGCATTGCTCGGTGAGTTCCAATGCCATCATTACGCGAGAACGAGTAGGGCCTAGATAGTAGAGCCAGTGCGAGCCTCTGCGAAGCAGAGGTGACGCACTGGTTGTTGCAAATAAATCCGTAAGTCGGTATCTATGGAATACAATAAAAAAATTTGTTGCTCATTTTGTCCGCTTGAAGCAGAATAAACATACACAGTGTAGCATAGTGATAAGACTAGTATAATTGATGTCAGGAGAAATTCCTAGGGCAGTAAAGTTGGAGCTACGATGTTGACGAGTATTGAGCAAGATCAGTTTTTCTAACTTGTGTAACTTGCAATAGATCGCTCTCTAGTATAACTCTTGTATGAATGGGCTAAAGCCAATTTTGAGCTAGATTCGGATTCTAGCCTTCAAAAGCTATACAACGATATATAATTTGTGAGTTCAATATCTTTGCCAGGTGAGATAGTTTCCAGAGGTCCAACGGACCCCCCCCCCCCTCCACGTCAGAGCCCCATATCTCCGCGGTGGGGGCATTTCATGATTTAATTTTCTTTGCATCTTCAAAAGGGAGGTCCATTTAGTATTACCTATACCCTCGCAAAGAGATTCCACGGGAGCGACTGACTTAAATTCCAAATTTACCTGTGTTTTTCAAGCGCCTTTTATTCCCTGCTGTAACTCATTAGTACATCCGATCTCTCTGCGAGGGTATAGGTAAGACTCAATAAACCTCCCTCTGTAAGATGCAAAAAAAAGTGTAGCATGGAATGCCCCCGTCGCCGAGATATTAAGCTACAAAAAACCCATCAAAAATCGATTTTTTCAATATAACTTTTATATAAGTAAATAAATCAAAACGGGAATAGCATAGGTGGATTCGACTCCTCAAGAGCTTTCGAATGATATATAACATGTGGGGGTTTGATGCTTCTGGGTTGCGGGAAGGGGGGGGGGGGGTGATCGGGCTCAGTTCAGGGTGATCACCTGCCGGCGCCTCTCCAATGCATTAAGGTGGCGGGGGGTGATCACCCTGAACTGAGGCCGATCACCCACCCTCACAGGGCTTAAAAAACATAGGACCCCCACATGCTATATATCAATCGAGAGCTCTTGATGAGTACAATCTACCTATACCCTTCCCACTCAAATTCGTTGACATACACACAAGTTATTTGCAAAAAATTGATTTTTGGAGGCGTGATATCTGCTCTATGTGCAACTTCATAACTCTAAGAGGAATACTTTTTAGGATCTACTTTTTTTTCTATGTGGTAGAGAAAAGATTCCTTATTAACGCCTATACTCTCACAAGATGACATTCTGCAACTTACTCAAGTTATACTGACTCAAAAACTGACTTTTCTTAAATATGGCCAACATTGTGACTGCAACTGTACTGCCCTAAAAATTCCTCCTGACATCATTTGTACTATTTTTGTCATTGTTCTGGACTCTATATCTTTATCATGCTTTGAGCGAACACAAAAAAACAACAAATTCTTTTATTGTACTACATAAATACCGACATAAATATTTATTTGCAAAAAAAATAAAAGTTCATGATCAATGCAAGGTCTTTTACTAACATCATTCAGATCAATATTCTCCAGGTAAATCTGTCCATCAGCGCCTCTAAAATAACTGCCATTGTCCGCTGCCCATGTTATTGTCGGTCGAAATCATTTTTATAAGGTTCTGCGTTCGATCCTTCTAAAAATTCATTTTTTCATTGACATTTTTGTAATTGTGCAGTAATTCCTCACCTTGAAAAAATTTTTTCGTCCGTCAGGTGAAGGGGTGAAGGGGGGGGGTGGTCCGACCTCCAAAGTGAAGAGGGGGTGAGCTTTTGCTCACCCTATCGCACCTATACTGCTCATAGTGGCTCCTCAAACCACCGCCACACCTCTCACTCGCACCTTTATCTAACTCATATGAGTAACCTTCTAAATGACTTTACGAATGGTTGTTACACAAAGCTTTGCATGGGCCAAATACGAGGAACAAAACTGCTCTCAGATATAATCTGATGTCACACTCAACGTTATTCACCTTCCACCTATCTGTCTCGAAGCTGATCGTTGAATTGCCTTGAAGTGATAGGTTCAAATTTGCTTCTGGTTACGAAACCTCTGTCGTTATTCTTCTTCGCAAAAAGCAGCGTACATAATGAGCAATGAGCTGCAAGCAATGGACACTTATACCTGGCAGGACTGGCGCGACGCCAAACCCCTCTTTTATGGGCGAATGCTGCAGTTGTATACAGTGTGTCAATTACGTACTCACTTTCGCGTAGGATTTGCACATGCGCAAGGCGACAATCTTGCATGCGGACCTTCAGTCGATGACGCCAATTTGAATGCTCTGCCATACGCGCGCGGACATGGCGCGAAGCTCTGGCATGGCGAATGTGCTTGCGGAAAAGGGAGCACGTGATTGACATAGACTGTATGTCGTTTGGGATGTCATCCAAGCAGGAAACCGCAGCATTCTAAAGCAAAATCACCGTACAAGCAGGTCCAATCATGGTGTGCCTGCGGATAAGCAGGGCTCGGCATGAGGTGGCTTTTTCAATTTTTCAGAAGCGAAGTCCCTGTAGACTTCGGCACAAAAATACGCATCATCTACGACGCGATCCATGAAGAGATCAAACGAATAACGAGAAATAGTCGAACAAAACTTAAAAGTAGCATCAAACAGACGAAAAAAGAACCAAGGGCTTAAAAAACTAATGATAAAAAAACTAATAAAGCTGAAGATGTTCGTATTCTCCGAATTGGCGGCATGCTGTGTCCGGCGCGCGTCCTTGCTCGCTTGGAGCACGCTTGCCGCCGCCATACAAAATATTTGGAGGGCTGTAACTATGCGAGGAAGAGGGAAACATGTGAGAAAATTATGTGAGGAAAGGAAATATATGACTTTTCTTTTTACAGCCACCTTAGGTGGCTGTCCAGGTGGCTGGAAAGCCACCTAACTCCGAAAAAAAGTTTGCCACCCCTTTAGTTCACATAATTTTTTCATAATTATTCGCACATTATCCTAACTCCCTATTGCCATCTACACACCACTTTTGGTGTCGTTTCATTTCCTCTTCGCTGTATACAAGTCTTTTGTTTACTTCAGGGCAGGTTTGAATTCGTGCGCTTAACCGGCGAACTGTTGAAACAGGAAATTTTTAGTTTTTGCAGATTGATAAGGCAGAAATGACAATTTGCGTCTTTTATAGAAGATGGGTGACATAAAGGCAGAAGGCGATTGTGTGTGTGTGTGGGGGGGGGGGCTTCCTCTTCAACGATATCCCCTTTACTTTTTATCTAAACGATATCCAGCTTGCCACGTAAGCCACCTGTGCCGAGCCCTGATTAGAAGTCCATTTTTTGGTGCACAGATCAGTTTGGTTTAAAAAGAGTATTATTTGCTTGCAAAACACCTACGCACATCAGTGGCGAACCGAGGCTCCCCCTCCTTCCTCTGAAAGAGTCGCGAAACTTTCTAAAGTATTTTAAATCAGCTATGAAAATTGTGCAAGTGACTGGTTTCTATTCTAATTGATCCGAACATTTTCTATCTTGAAACTATGACTTTATGGAAGAAGCTTTTCTGCTCCCTGAAGGGGACATCAGGTAGGTATGCCGGGCCTTCTATCAAGAAATGTTTCTGCCCCTTTGAAGTAAAGTCTCAGACGAGATTGGTACATTTATGATTCAGGTTCATTCGTTGTACTGCCATGAATCCACTAGCCGAACTTGACGACTATGGATTTTTGGAAATTTTTCTACCTACAGAGGAAGAAAAATCTTCTATAAGGTAGGATACCGAAATAACATGCCAAGTGAATTCAATTGAATCACAAGAAAAATGTTTCCAGGTGCACGTATCAACCCATATCAAACGTATCGTTCGTTTTGGGAACGCCTAAAGAGGTAGGAGTCTTGCTACCAGCATCCTGCCTCCACATGCATTGTCATTTCTCAGATTGAATTCAACCAACCCACGCAGATATATCACGATCAGTTTGTCGTACGATGTCGCAACATTTCATCACCACAGAATGTTATCTACGAAAGGGCATTTATTAATGTGCCTTATCCTTCGGTAATGTCCACTGAAGATTATTGAGTACGGAGCTCAGTAACGGCAACAAGCCTGCGTAGTGCAGCCGCAACGACACACGCATGAGCTAGTATCCCGCTTAGAAATCGCGGATTTAAGGTTCTAACTGTTTTTTTATGTCTGTTTAATAATTTTATGGGTGGTTAGGAGCTATACTGTTATTTGTAGGCATATTGTACCCTCTAATCCAACTGGATTGGCGGCTGGAAGGCGGGGCTTTGAGGCCTAATCAAGGCTAGGGAATGACCGGGAAGAACTCTTGCGAAAGAGACGCAGACTGCGTCGTGGATGCGAGCATCGCGTTCCAGCTGCCAATCCCGTTAAACCAAAGGGTAGTTGTGAAGCCCACTCTTGCATAATGGTGTGATTGCACTGCGCGGGATTGTCGCCGTTAGGCCCAAGGCATACCTCACGCGATTCCAGTCGCTGCGAGATCTGGCGCTGCAACAACTCTTCATATTATTCGTAAACGCATTTTGCTTGGGCCAGACTTGATACTTTTGCGAGAACTTACGGAAGCTACGCATCTTGCATTTGACACTGGCGCACAGCTAATCTGTAGACATCTGGCAAAACGCCAAGTCGCGTGGATGTAGCGATTTGACGGAATCGCGGGGAGTATGCCTTAGGCCCTAGACGCATTGTAACTATTCAAAGTCACTCCTTTTAGGGACCAGCAAAGCAACCGAAGTTTGTCAAAAGCAACTGGGTGAGCGTCATAAATCCTAGAATAGGTGTTTGTTTGCACGAAAACAGCTGCAGGAAGTGTATTCTTCAAATATCAAAGCCAGGCTGCCACTGACAGTTCATTTCAGGAGTACCCCTCGCTGGCCTTGCTGATTTTCGATTCGGTGTCATTGAATCAGTTCAAAGCGACTATGCCACGTACTTGGAAATTCCTTGTGGATAACGATTTCGTCGCTATGAACATGTACAACGAGGTTCATTTCCAACACTCAAAAATTGGGGCTGTAAATTCTCCATTATAGCGGAACGAAAGCTTCAAGGATAGAAGATGAGCTAATATGTATTAGCATGTACATTTTTGATAATTCTATACCACTGCTACATAGAACGAATTCGGCAAAGGACGTGCAAAATGGCAGTCGTTTTTTGAATTACGTCGTCTTTGACTGATCTTGCCATGATATTCTTCGAAATTGATCAAAACGTATCAATCGAAAAAGATCAATCAGTACTAAGAATCATGATAGAAAACGGCGCCACCAATTTTGCCATCGGTACTTCACTCCGTCTGTATTAGAATTTGAAACCTCTTGGCAAAGCTTTGGTGTTAGAAAGCTAGTTTTACCGTATTCATTACGAAATTTCCGAAAGAAAAGCCATGCTAAAGGATATTCGTCGACGACTGCCCCAACTCGTGCAATTACATCACCTTGGGTAATTGCACTAATGAGGGCAGTCGTCGACGATTATCCTTTATACATTCTCTAGAGGTTGAGGTGCTTTGAGTAAGAAAAATTTATGAGCTAGGAGAATGGAAAGAAGCCTAAAATATTGGCCTATATCTATTTTTACAATTTGAGCTTCAACAATAGTGTGTCTCAGACTCGTGCAAGAACATTTTTATTTGAATAATTGAATTTCACGAGAAGGACTTTTGATGAACAACCTAAAAATACATACTAGGCGTGAAGAAGATGCGTTATGACGTGAAGAAGATGTTGGATTTTTGCGGGATGGCTGAGGGCATCATAATGCTTTGATTTTAGGTAACGCATGACATAAACAGCAATATCTTGTCTATTTTGAAAGGAGGAGAAGAAAAACAGTCAGAGGAAACTTTTTTGTGGGACGTTATGAAGGGTGAGTTCTGCCTCAAGTGATTGTATGCTCGGGCAATGAAAAAGAGCTTCATGATAGTATGGCTGCAGAATAGAGTTGGTTGAAATACCGCGGTTGTTGATGGTAGAAATTCACATCTCTACAAGACTTGGACATCATATTGTTTAGCCTCGAGAAATTTGAAGGGGTCCCGCTGCATGCTGCTAAACAACCACAATTCTTCATTAACAAAGTTGAAGCACTTTTTAGCATTTTTTAATATTGGTATCAAGAGACGTTTTCTGCAATCACTTATTCCCTGCGTTCTATATGAACACAAATTTCGATTTGAAGAATACATAAACAATCGTTCTGCTCTCTGAAATTTTTTCATCCCGTTTAGAACGTCAGTGCAAGACTTATCTCAGCGAAGAAATTGGTGATTTTCCTTCGGTGTTGGGTAATATGAGCCTTGACGTCGAACACGATCTGAGACCTTTTCATGCTTACGCTCACGCCACCAGTGAAGGGGTTTGCACTAAAGATGGACATGTGGGTTACACTGGAAATTCCGCTGATTATTCCAGTTTGTAGAAATCACATTCAAGGTTGGTGCCCAAGAGAACATAAAATTTTGGAGGAAGGCTCTGCTACATTCCAAAAACCGCTGCCACTTCTCAATGCATCACATGCGAGCTTTAACGAGAGATCCAGAACTTTTACCTCTGCTTGACCAAGAACTAAGGTTGGCAAATCATTTGCTGAATTTCTTCTCGACGAATTTATTGCGAATAAGTTTGCATTGGACTGTGACACAAGAGTTTTTACGTCAGAGAATCGCTGGAAGCACTCAAAGCAAATGGCTTGTTCGAGGACACGGTTTTTGCATTGCTGAGTGGTACAGGAAATCCGCCAAGGTATCCTATCAGTCACACGCACTTTCAATGTTTGGGCTGGTCCATAGTTGCCATTGCCAGCACTATTCCGCGCTTCGCCATCGTGCTAGCGCCGTGCCAACATTATGCCGGCGAGTTCGATCATTACGCAAAGATGGCGTGGGCTCCGCCGCGGCTATGGCACGGCGCTGGAACGACGCTTGCACGAAGCTGGCATACGGGCAACTTTGAACGCAGCCGTAGAGTAGCGTATAATGGTCAAACATGGAAGCTGATGAAAGTTAATTTGTTTTCTGCAGGCTTCTTTCATTGAAAGGAGACTTGGTGACCGTAGCCTTTCGCAGTGACCAGATGCTCCTTGAAAGGCTGATTCCAAACCTATATTCGTCATCTACTGTGCGACTCTTTGAACAACGTTATAGGTTTTTTCCATATTAATTTCAGATATCAAGACGACCAGATTCGTCAGCACCCAGGCTTTCTAGACTTTTATAAATCGGAGGCAGTTTTCCTGCGCAAAGCTTGATTTGTCTGGAAGCTCTTTTGTAGCGTGTAAATGAACAATCTAACAATATTAGTGAAACCTGTCATTAAAACAGTGCGAATTTTGGTGGCAAGAAATATTCATAACTTCTTTTGCGCAAAGCAGAAACGAAAGCCGGTTTGGAACTGGCCGCTTCAAGACGCATTTAATGGTGTATGTTTTTTCTTAAAAGGCCAGGGTCATTGAGTATTCTTCCCTTGTTAGACTCACACAGCTATTGAGACTCTCAACCATTCGTATCCTCATTATTATTCTAAGCCTCAGCCTAGTGCATCACCTCCTCAGCCATTAACGATTTCAAGGTTGAAGGATCAGCTGTTCACTTCACGTGTGGAAGAGCGAACGCCACTATTCACGATCAAGCTACCAGAGAAATTTCTCAGAAAACACTATCACTCTCGCGCCTCTTTACAGTCAAATGCAAACAGGTGAAAAGGGTCCGCAGGGTTTATACTTCCATCACATGCCCGTGGATTTCTTAGATTGGTAGCCACTAAAGACATCGGTATAACACTTATGGATATCGCCTCTGGCAGTCCACTGACATTCGTCAGTTATAACTTGAAAAATGAACCTCGTAAGTTTAAACGGGTTTGTCGAACTTTTAAGAGATATTCGCTCTTTAGTCAATGGCACCTCTCTGCTGACTTATGCTATTCCGACCTACCGATCTTGTGATGACGCAAATGTTCCTCCGCACATGTGCCTTTGCATGGACGATAAAGCATTGCTAACTGAGGATTACTCAAGGTAATCTAACGTTATGAAGCCACTGGTTTATGCCGCTGTCTCTGTAATGACTATATGCACGATTTTCTGAAACGTCTTTCTGCCGATAGCTGCTTAATTGAACAAAAGCTTCCCTGAGCATTACAGAATCAAAGATCTTACCTGAAAGATGATTATGCCATAGCTTCAAAATCCTTTTGTGCTTGAGGTCAAACAATCGTCTTCATTTATTTCCAATCACAGCCTCACGTTTTGACGGCTTTCCTCCCAAGAGGCCTGGATGATTCCTAGCAGGGGGCTGCAGACTGCCAAACTCTTCTCCAGCTCTGCTGGTTCACGGTCTTTGTACTACTTTGCTACCAAATAGAGTTAGCGCCGAAAAACATACCGGAAAACCACCGCTCCCAGTGTAGCTGCAGTACTAGACAGTAGGCAGGCTAGCGAATCATAATGTAGATATGCAGCGATGGTCTACAGATTTATTTATTTATTTATTGATACACTGTTGTGCACAGTGCGCCAGTACAAAGACACGAATGCAACGACAGACAAAGACAGTAATGAAACGAAATTGTGACATGCTCAGCACCCTAGAGAAATTGTGGAGAGTAATTCTCTAAACCAGGTGCTCGTCAGTGTTGTCTTCAAAGTCAGTGTCGTGGGGGCTAAACTTGGTATAAGTACAAGTCCAAGTACGATGCGTGACGGTATAGAAATATACGGTCACTTTCGAGCGAAGAAAGAGGGATAAGCACCTGGGCGAATGAGCGAAATCGTGCGTACCCGGCGGGCAGGAAACCTCGTTCGGCTTACCCCAGCAACGCTAACATCGGACTTGGATGCAAGATGATCAAGGATAAGAGACAGACATATAAAGCTACACGACAAAGACGATGTCAAATTCAAAAGACAAACACTAAGCTGCGTATATAGTAAGAGAGCCTCTGAGGTCAAGAGCATGCCAGCAAAACAGCAATGAAAAAAAAATAACTGATGGAACAAGATAGCCATACGAATGTAAGCTCTGAAAACAAAACAACAAGGTAATAGTCGATTTAGGCAAAGGGAACGTGGACCGAAGTTCAGCAAAGTTGTATCGACTGAATTGTACAGGCAGCCACGCAAGGCCTCTGAAATTAAAACAGACGAGACAACATAACTGAGTTAAAAAGGCGATCAACTTCCCAAGTGAAGTCCATGGAGCAGTGGAAAATACAGTGAAGAGAATAGCCAGCGTTAAAGAGTAGAATTTGAAATGTAAGAGAAAAAAAGAGCAAAGGACATAAGGAGAAACTTCATCTCAAAAGTACTCGGATTCATCTATTCCCAGCAATCTCAAAAAGTCACAATTAAGAAGTTTTTTTCTGAAAGTAGTTGAATTTGGAGCAGAGAGAACTGCGTCAGGAAGCTTTTGTAACCATCGAGAAGTGCGTGCGAAAAATGAGTTGTAGAAGAGTGTATTTGGAACAGTAGAGTCAATGCAGTGGAAGCTAAACCCACCTTTCGGCCGTTGCACGGTCTCCAAACCCAGAATTCACTAGGAACAATTGTTTCGAGGCGAATTATTTGGAAGGCAAGCATTAAGTCAGCCAAAACCCTTCGATACAGCAAGCTATGCAACTTCAAGTGGTCCAGCCTACATCTATAGGAGGGAAGGGTAAACGGGTAATCCCCCCTTGGAAAAAATCTGTAATACAGTACATGAGTGAAAACCATTTGGACTTTCTCCACGGTTAGAATGTCCTTTTTTAAGTGAGAATTCCAGACTTGGCAAGCATACTTTAATGAAGGGAGAACATAGGCCATATACAGCTTAATGTATACTCTCAAGTTTACATGCTTCAAGTTCCGTAATAAAAGGAATACTCTGTGTAAGGCTGCACGCGAAATATTCTCAATATGAGATCTTAACAGGAGCTTATGGTCCATCAATATTCCAAGGAACTTATGGTCCATCAATACAGATATAGATCACATAACGATACGATTGAGGGAGGTTGAAAGTTATTAGACATCGTTATTATGTTTGTCTAGACTCTTGGTAGTAATCCAAAATGTTCAATATTGATGACCGTCCTCACTCATTGCGACGTTGATATTTTCGAGGGGCTTCGCGTATTCTGGCTGCTGCCGGGGAGGTGAGGGGCTGTTCAATGAATACGGCTGTAATTCGACTGTCCTTCAGAGATAATGGTAAGCACTGATGGCCTAATGAAGAGGTTGCTAAAAAGATTACGAATTACCCTAATACCTGCCAAAATATGAGCACCGGTACATCTTCTTGGTTGTGGTAAGTTGCACTTGTTCTGTCCCATTACGTCCAGACCACCCGAATAGACCATCAAGGCGGGGTAAGTCATGGTATTCATTACGAGAAAATTTGAGAGACTGACTCCTGCGAAACGCAGCTAAATTCCTTTCCAGAGCACATTTGCGTAGCTGTTTTATATATTATTCATAACTGCGCGATGATGCGGAACGAGGATTTGAGGCCTAAGATGTTCAGTTATTACTGCGGTACGCCGTGAGTAAAGATATGGCACCCAAGCGCCTCGTAATTTTCCGAATGCGAGTTTGTTATACTGCGACTTGATGGCATGTAGTCTTTGATAACATCTGGAACCATGCAGGCCTCTGAGGAAGACGGAATCGGCTTGTCTTTATTCTTTACTAACGTAAGGCCGTTAGTAAGAGATAACGACCAAAATCTTAAAACTGCTTGACACAAAAGAATGCACAAAAGAATTTTGGAGTCATGACAAATTACAATCTTCCATGAAAACGGGACGACTTAGTTGATGAAGCCTGAGCCGGCATCGAGCGTGGTCGAAACATGTTCGTTATTAGTACGAGTAGGTGTTGTAGCATCGGACAATGCCAAACCTTGCGCGCGAATGGGCAAGGCTTTTCGGCGCATTATAACGGATTCCTAATGCCGCACTTTTTGGATACATGGAAACACCCGAGGTCTTCTGCTAACCTACAAGTATGTAATGCTGATTTACTCTTCGGCTGTGTATCAAGAGGTAGTATAGTTTGGAGTTCGACTGTTGGTAGAATGTTTTCGGTTGTCGACGACATTTACACATTATAGCAAAATCCGCTTCATGGCCATGACTTACGTGCAAACTGCAAGTAAGAGCTTGGCGTTCACAAGCGCTTTTGTGTTCACGCAAAGCGGGGACACTGTACTGGCAGTGAGATGTAGTAGGTATATGTAAATTCGCCTAGTGTCTTTGTACTTCTGTTATTCTTATTATGTTTATCGAGTCCTTTTTAGTCGATTTGTCTGCGTTTACTGGTCTTTTAACTGTTTTGCTATGTCTTGGTAGTTTCGTGTCGGGACCAAGCGATCGGGGGCGTGCTCTTCTTTTCGGGCTACTATATAAGGCGGCTCCGCTTGGCTCTCAGTCTTGTCGTCGGTGCTACGAGGAGTGCGGTCGCACATCAATTGCGGAGCCAAGCCGAGGAGACATGGACGCGCAGATCGCCTGGAGGATTGTTCTTCAATAAAGGAACCCCTGGACACCACGCCGAGCCTCCGCAATAGCGCCTAACCTAGGCCAACTGCCTGACAAAGAAGAGACCAAGTCTCCTTTTCTTCTTGACATATAAGATTTACTGGATGTAAAGGTATAGTGTTTGCGGGTGCCGAAATACGCCAATGACATTTAAGCGTGAAGAAAGTGGCACACTACGCTAAACCTAAACGTGGGCCTGCGGCCTTCGCATACGTAAAATGCTGGTTATCATGTTGTCGGCAAATGTCGGCGCCACAGAGGCGCCATACTACGTAAAGGCTACTGCATGACGAAGGCGCAGAAGCAGCATTAGTTATCTTCACCGTTGTTCTGCGCCTCAGGCGCTCTGCGGCTGATGAAGCCCAAAGATATTGCGCCTTCTTCGTGCGGCAGCCTATACTTACCGCCTATTAGCGTATGTTTACATCCCTCTCCTTACATTAGTGTTTTAGCAACTCATTTATATACAATCAACTGTTCGAATACGTGAAAACAGAAGTGCTAAAGAATGACTGCATTGACGAGGTCATCAACTGCTACGAGGGCAAATGCGACGCGAATGTGAGAGTGCTATCATTAAATCCAATGGTTCAACAAGGAATCAGGGATGAGAGAGAGTACGTTATTTTTTATTGATTCTATCTGTTGAATTCGAGTTGAAAAATGCAAGAAAGCTTGGACATGGCTCGAAATCAGTATGTCAGGCCGTCTCATGATTGCTTACCGTTTGTATCCTGACTCTACAAGTACAAGGCGGGGTTTTTCTTCTAAAATTGATAAGCCAAATACGCCAAAGGATTTAGCGACTAAAAGGCCCTCTAGGATGCTGCGCATTACCTGAGATCGTGCAGCATAGCAATTTCGCGAGGCATAGCGAAGCGGTTGAGCTGCTCTCATTTTGGAAAACGAAGAAGTACTTTACTCGCGAGATTAGGGTACCTTCTCTCGCAATAGCTCATGGTTTTCTTGGTCCTGAACAGGCATTATGGTACCGTTTGACAGAGCAATGCAAGTCTAAGACCTCACTCAAATATCTGCTCAAGGTTTCTTCCACGTGAAGTTCGGAGACACAAGCTAAAGCGATTTGAATGCTTGAGAAAGAAAGAAATTGTCTTCCTCCTGTCTGTCCTGCGAACTTCTTAGCTCACACGTACAGTCTCTACCTCTTGTATTTATTTGTGAAGTTGCTTATTGTTTCCGTGGCTACAACTTGAGGAACAAACATACACCAAAATAGGTCAAAAATACAAAAAGTCATTTCTAGGGTTTTCTGGCAGATACTGTCACCCTGGTACTTTGGTATAATGGATGGCAGAACATTGTATACAAGCTGAGATCTTCACTGTTTCGCGTGCTTCCCTGGAGGATCACCTAACCCCTTCCCGCGGGGGATCACCTCATATTTTCAAAGTGATCTATTAGGTCTTTTCATAAGTTCGTAAAGTTTTTATAAACCAACGAAATAACAAAATTTTAGTAGAATTCAATCAACAATGTATGTTTGGTTATTGCGCACAACCCTCTACCACCATCATCAGATTTTCAGTTCAGTTTTTCAAAAACTCAGCGGGTCTGGTCCCAAAAAAAATTGTCTAACCAGCGCCTGAGCGTCTTCAAAATCAGAATAGACGTCGTTCGATCGGCGATAGATTGGAACAGATAACAATATGCTAAAGCGAGATCTCAGGAGTACACTGAGTACTAATGTACCTCCCGGTCAAGTCTTGCAGGACAGCTATGCGACGGTTGCCGTGAGGGGCCAAGTTTTGTCGCGCAGAAAAGTGTACTGTAACTGTTTATTACCTTTTGTGCACTAGAGATTAGTTTAGACGTGAGTAGGGTTGCATACGGTATGAACGACCGTCTTGTTCTTGTCTAGCAAAATTCAGTAACCTCTTGCTCGTTCTGCAAAAAGTTTTGTTCAGGTGACACCCTACAAACTCTTTGTTTTTGAAACAATCCAATCCCTTTTTTTTATTGACGAGAAAACGCCTTCTTCATTAACGAGAAAATCTGAGAAAAACGCTCTTTTTTTCAATAAGAAAACAGTGGAAGTGCCGAAAGTGCTCTTTTTGCCTTTTGAGAGTTCCTTCTGTGGAAGCTGAGGAATCACAGCAGATCAGCTTTTCATAGAAAAATAATTAGTTAGTTTTGAAGAGCATGATCAGCTCTTCTTGATGATGTACGCATCTGCCGCAATTCAACCGCTCCTCATAGAAATGAGAACGAGAATGAAAACTCTTCGAACTTATGAACCGACTCAATATTTTTCCAGGAAGCCGATGAAAACATGTTGAAATTGTGAGGATCTATTATGGCATTAGAGTTGTTTTCGGCAAAACAAGTAGATTGTGCAGGTTGTGAGTTTTTCGATGAGTCTGTCACAAAAAGCGGTTCATCGAAGATTTTGATATCCTAAGATTTACTGATTCCTACTATGAACATGATTAGCAGTGCCGTAGTATAACCTCGGTGCATTGGGGTTCGAGGTGGCCCATTCCCTCCCTCCTCCCCTCCCCTCAAGAAAAAATCGCGAGATTTTACTTTTGAAAGTTAATTAAATGAGTCACAAAAATGTGCAAGTGACTTGTGCTTGTACTTAGTGAAACTAACTTTTGATTTTGCAAAAATTCAATTCTAGCCTTATAGTTTTCGGGAATTTCGGGGTTATGGGACTTATGGGCCCTAGAAAAGTTTTGGATAGCATACCAAAAAAATTTCGGGGTGGGTGGGACGCCGCGCACCTGTATCAGAGAAGAATTTTTGTAGCGCCCTCCCCCTTACCCACTCCCCCCCCCCCCCCCCCGACCCCTGAGTACACTACTGCCTCGGTGCAGTTTTTACGGCATCTTCATCGAGAATATAGAAAGATCGATGGCTTGAAAATGTGAGGTGATCCCCGAGATTCCTTAGGAGTCCACACGAAACAGTGAAAACTCAGCTTGTATGGCAATGTTTCAGATATTAGGGTATGTGAATCTTCATAAGATAGCTAAGAACAGAATAATACAGATTACTAAAGGAGCGAGATACAAAGCGTCCCCCAGATTCCCTTCCCTCTCTCGCAGAGATTACATGCAGACGAGCCTAAAAGTCTCAGGTAAAAATTTTGGATTTTAGAGTCAGCAATCTCTCAAAGAATCACATTGGAAATAGCTGGAAAAAGGAAGAAATTAAGCATCAGACACAGCTCGAAATGTTTGTCTATCTTTACTCTACTGTATTTGTCGGTGGATGTAAAAAACTGACAAAATTTTGCACCGACCTAATAGTGACCGGATGAGTGTATCTGAGCAAGTAGGAACTCCGTAGGAATCAAACTTCAGATGGAACAAACTTCGGGCACAAACTGGGTACGGTCTTATAGAGCTTCCTCTTTCGGAAGGCATCATAAAACTTATTTAAACATCGAAAAGAAACTGAGTCCTTGCGAGAGGAAGTAAAAACAGTGAAAAAATTGTGAAATAGCGTGCCGAATCTAACCTGTATCTATTAACTTATTGACCACAACGCGGTCACCGGGTAACGACAAATTTTAGAATTCGTCCTCAAATTCATGATTCTCCGAAGTCTTGACTTTTGCACATGATAGAGTTTTGAGTACTCACGTATGAACTGAAGCAGTCAACCAGCTCAACTCAAACATTCAAAAGTCGGCCCTGGAATTGTTATGGAGAAGTCAACATATATAGTTTAATTTCTGGCAACTTTCTGGACCATTCAAGCCCTGCAATTTGCAAACTGTGCTAGCAACTTGTTTTCGCTTGTGAATAGTCAGAGATCTGAACTTTCGAACTCACAATGTAGAAAAAAATCTGAAACATGGTGTTGCAGTATCAAAAGTATTACCTTTTTACTTTGCGTAAACGGCAAAATTTTGGGGCATTTCCCTGTCCTACAAAAATCCCTGCTCAATATTCAAAAGTTACCAGACATATTTGTTTTAGTTGGAGGGAGGTGAGAAAAACGCAGTACGATATGGGAATGAACTACGTCGAGATTTTAGTACTAGCTCAAGCAGCACCACATAATCCTTCCCTGATGAACATAGACAAGGTACTTTGTTACGCACTAGCTCTTGGTCACATCTTGATGCAATTGTTTCAGATGAGAGTTGTCCTCCGCATGCGTTTTCGATTTACTCGAAAGACAGGCTTTGAACCAGTAGGCTCGCCAACAGTAGCGAATGCGAATCATCAATGTCACGCCAAAAGGATAGAGCAGTACTGCGAGATGTGTTACTACAACAGCCTCTTGACAGATCCACAAATCTGAGAAAAATGCGCAGTAAAGGATTTCTGCGAGACACAATTCAGCTTGGAACCTTGCGCCCATTGTGTATCAATGGTTTATAAGCATACAATGCATAAAACTCCAATGACTCTCACAATTACTGCCAGCAATTTCATCTGCATACTTGTAATTATCGCATATTTAATAAACATTTCAAAAATTTGAGTCATTTGTTGCTGATGACGTGCGCCTGTTCAAGCACAGTATGTTTTGCTAACACTTTCATCGCCGCCTTAGGCTTTACGCTGTAGCAGAATAGAACAAGTGCATTTGTAACACTTATCAGCTCCTATAAAAACGCAGTGGAGAAGGAGAAGTGGGAGAAAACGTCTCTTTGAATAAGACTTGGGTTCCGTCGTGGTGCACAGCAAAGCTTCATGTCTTAAAGCTCCAGATATCTGGATTCCACACTGTCTATCTATTGTGGTTTTCGCTAGTTTATCTCATGTCCTTGCATGGTACGCAAATATAACCATTTCCTGAGATTCGGTTTTCGCTGCTTTTTTGTATCAGTTTGCTTGTAAAGCCTACTCAAAAATGATATCTGGTACTATTCGATAAATTATGTGATATGAAATGGTGTTTTACGGATAGAATGACAGGCGTGAGGAAGGAAGCCAATGGCACAAGATAATGGAAAAAAGAGCGGAAAACACAAGGGACGCAAAAAGCCGTTAGGTGTCCTGATTTTGTTTCGGGGCAAAAGTGCACGACGAAATAAGGTGTCGCGACCAAGACTTCCTGGTCAAAATTGGGATTCTTGTGGCAGACACCATAACGTCCCAATCATTAGGAGCATGTAATGCGCTTATTTTTTGTTTATTTCGAATGTTATCAACGCTCTAAATGACCGATTCTGTGCCGACACCGATTTCGTGAGTCGCGCAGGCATTCGTGACGACATACGTTTTACGTCTGCGCGAGTCAAATGCGGTGTCTGAGATAACGCGACAACCAGCGCTCCTCCCTCCAAAGACGGTGGGAAGTACCGTATTGATTAATTGTCAGTAGTTAAAGGCAGTGGCTCGGGAAAATTGTGAACTGGGAGATCTTCACAACTACATGGCTTGGACCAGCTGAGTCAGTTATTGCGCTTGGAATGTCAACAGGCCTTGCAAATTGCTGGAGAGGCGGGGCGAGGGACCCCCGCCACAACCAGCAAGTGAGTGCAGGATACTGTAATTTTACCTATTTTGGCGGCAATTGGCAGATCAGCCCAGGCAATCAATACGATACAGTTGACGGGAATCCCTCGCCCCGCCTCTTCAGCAATCTGCAAGGCCGGTAACTCCAGAAAAAAACACTTTTTGACATTTCAAGCACAGTACCTAACTCAGCTGGTCCAGAAGGCCATGTAGTTGTACCCCCACTCGCGATTTTCCCGAGTCACTGCCTTTAAGAGAAGCAGAAAAGGGAGTCAGATTTATGTTGCTCTTTGAACTTCCTACCTAGTCCTTCTCTACACGCTCCAATAGACTGATACAAGTTCTGAACCATGCTTTGTGTAGCATGAATTCATTCTGGCAACAACGGCGAAACGTGCGCCTTTTGACATCACGCTCCGACCCCTATCACGAGGAGCAGATCGCACTGCGCGATCCGCCACATAGGTCCCCAAATCTTTCAGATTCTACGGACAAGGAATGAACGAATGAACAGGTTATTGTAATCACTCGCAAAGGTGCTGAGTATTTATTTAGTAGTTCTATATGCTTGTCCAATTTATAGATAAGATGAAATGATCACAAACCATGACTTCACCGGGATAAATTGTACATATGTTGTTTATTAAAAAGAGGGAATGTGAAGTATAAAGTAGCGTTGCTCGTGGTATTTCAGCGATTTTAACAATCGATCCACCAAGGTTGTGGCCATTATAGCTGATACGAGCGGACTGAACACGCATTGAAGTTCAAACTTGTCGGTTACCTGAAGCATCTAAGTATAACAGATTAAAAATCGCTAAGTGGTAACAGAATAGAAATCGAAACAGTCAATATTTACCCATACTAAGACATTGTCATGGCTCCGTCTCAAAAACAGACACCTCATGTGGGGCTCTTCTCGAATTACATGTGTAACTCTCTCAAACAAGCATCTAACACCGATTCTTTCTCGACGGGAGATCAAAGGCACTCTGAAGAAAAGCAATCTGGAACCATACCAAGATCTGTATCAAGCTGAATTCTGTTATCAAGCTGTTTGTTTGTCTAAGAGTACGTACAATACCGCTCACAGAATGTGCAAAATTTCCGTAAATGTCGCAGAATTCCGAGAATTCCGCGAAGGTTCGCGAAATTCCGGGAATTTTGCGACATTCCCGGAATTTCGCGACATTCCCGAAATTTCGCGAAATTCATGTAAATCACGCAAATTATGCAGGGCCATAACTTCGTTCCGAATAAGTATATTCAAAATCCGAAAACAGCACTGTATTCAGCTCGTCAAGGCGAATCTTTTGGTATAGAGGTTGTCTCCAATATCCTCTTTTCAATAGTCTTGAATCTGCATGCGGACGCCTTTTCGCGTGGGTGTAACGCAACAAGCATCACACATAGGAGATTGCGGCGGGCACCCTTCGATAGTACTCTTTCACTAGATTATTCTGCGCTAAACAGCAGCCGAAGACTCTCTTTTAAAAGAGATAGAAGAGCTGATAAACTCTGGAAAAATCAAGCTGTTCCAAGTTCTACTAGCCGTAACTTCCTTCAGAATGAACATCTTCGAAATCCGAAAACAGTATTGTGTTCAGCTCGTTAAGGCGAATCTTTCGGTGTACAGCATGTCCTTGAAATTCCATTTCCAATTTTTTTAAAATTTTCTGCGCGCGTATATTCGCAAGGTCGCAACGCAGCGCACATCAAACATAAAAGACTCCAATAAGCACTATTGGATTGTGCTGCTCCCGCAGATTACCGAGCGCTAAAAACGAACTGGAGAATCTTTTTTGAAAAAGATAGAAGAGCTGGTGAATTCTGGAAAAATCGTGTTGTGTCAAATTTTGCCCACTGTAACCCTAAAATGGGAAGCTCTCCTGCTAAGCAGATGTGCTTTTCGTAATCAGCAGGTCAGATAACCTCTTTGAGCGAAGTTTCCTTATAATCCAAGATCATCGACATTTTGACCAAAACTCATCGGCTAGCTTCAGGGCGTAGAACGAGAAAAAATCAAATCACCCGAATTTCTTTGAAAACTTGCTCATAGAGGTTATCTGACCTGCTGATTACGAAAGGCACATCTGCTTAGCAGGAGAGCTTCCCATTTTAGGGTTAAAGTGGGCAAAATTTGACACAACACGATTTTTCCAGAATTCACCAGCTCTTCTATCTTTTTCGAAAAAGATTCTCCAGTTCGTTTTTAGCGCTCGGTAATCTGCGGGAGCAGCACAATCCAATAGTGCTTATTGGAGTCTTTTATGTTTGATGTGCGTTGCGTTGCGACCTTGCGAATATACGCGCGCAGAAAATTTTGAAAAAATTGGAAATGGAATTTCAAGGACATGCTGTACACCGAAAGATTCGCCTTAACGAGCTGAACACAATACTGTTTTCGGATTTCGAAAATGTTCATTCTGAAGGAAGTTACGGCTAGTAGAACTTGGAACAGCTTGATTTTTCCAGAGTTTATCAGCTCTTCTATCTCTTTTAAAAGAGAGTCTTCGGCTGCTGTTTAGCGCAGAATAATCTAGTGAAAGAGTACTATCGAAGGGTGCCCGCCGCAATCTCCTATGTGTGATGCTTGTTGCGTTACACCCACGCGAAAAGGCGTCCGCATGCAGATTCAAGACTATTGAAAAGAGGATATTGGAGACAACCTGTATACCAAAAGATTCGCCTTGACGAGCTGAATACAATGCTGTTTTCGGATTTTGAATATACTCATTCGGAACGAAGTTATGGCCCTGCGTAATTTGCGTGATTTACATGAATTTCGCGAAATTTCGGGAATGTCGCGAAATTCCGGGAGTGTCGCAAAATTCCCGGAATTTCGCGAACCTTCGCAGAATTCTCGGAATTCTGCGACATTTACGGAAATTTTGCACATTCTGTGAGCGGTATTGCATGTTCTAAACAAAAATTTTTATTTCTGGATTGATCCAAACCGAAGTTGGTACACATACACTTCGGGGCGGGTGTTGTAGGCTACGTTTTGTTATCGATCATATCGATTTTATGATTTCCGCAAAATTTCGCCTGCGAGGCTGGGAGCTGACCTAGGGGATAAGTGAGCATGCTGATTACGAAAATACTGTTAACAGGGCCAGACGGAGCCGGGTTTGCAAGTCAGTAGTACTTATAAATTGATTCAAGTCTAAAATTGGGTGAAGTTTGACTTGAGGAGCATGAGGAGAAGATCTATGACAGAAGAAAGAGGAAGAGGGAGAGAGAAGAAACGGTGGATTAGTTGTTGCCCTAATTTTAAGAAACAAGACGCAGTTTTCTCAACAGAGTCAGCCCAAACGCACCAAAAAGTTTCGCGACCAAAGGACCCTCCGCCGCGCTGCTGCTTACCTGGAAGCATTGTGCGGGAGAGCGACCATTTCACGAAGCACAGTGGTGCTGGTGCCCCCAAGCTGCTTGCTTGAAAAACGAAAAAAGTGCGTCTTGTAAATATTAGCGAAGTTAGGTTAAATTTAGTGGAGAGAGACACCGATGAAAATGCTTTTTTCACTTTTCGTACAAAAATTTTTATGCGCATCCTCAGAGGGACCGTGCGGAGAAACAAGGGAGAACCATATGTTCACGAGACACTTCAGTCTTCAAAACAAAAAAAGAATTTCATCGAATCCGAAGTGCAGCACGTTGAACTCAGCCTCTACGCTGTTAACCCCCACGTTTCAAGCAACGCATAATCAAAGCATAATGGGCAGGTTACTTCACCCGGAACCGCATAACTGATCTATGGAAAGGGTCACGTAGGAGATACAGAGTACAACAAAAAATTGGCTGCTGATCTCTCATACTGATGATTTGCTAGGAATCTACTTTGGATATTTCAATCAAGTTGAGATTATTTGTTCAAAGATTGCTAAAATCAGTAAGTCGCATTAAGGTAACCATAATCGTCTCAGATATTCTGAGGCCTCCCACTTCGAGAAAGCACTCTTTTCGGGAACTAATGAATTTTTTGCAATGTGTCCGGATATCCAACCAATCTAACGCATGTGAAAGCTAGGTTCAGCCTTAAACAAGGTCAAATCTATCAGACTCAGCTATAATTTGTTTGAACCGTCCGCGCTGTGCTCGGCGAGCAACGCTGTTGCGTCCACTAAAGACAGTCCATGACTGAAAGAGGCGCAGAGAAAAAAGGGGAGGGAGCGCACGAGAAAAAAAGGAATGACGCGCAGTATACACCCTGCGCGGACGACACTATGAGTGATGTCAAAAAGGACGTGCGCGCCTTTGGATGAATTGATGAGAAAGAAAATTCCTCATGAAGAAAACAACCGTCAACAAAAACCACCAACTTTGCTCCAGATATGCACACTTGTCTCGAGTTGCGATTCTTGTACACAAACGACCATAGGAGATCGCTACCAGATCCGATCTACAAGAACCATTAAATAACGCGAAATCAAAATAAAACTTACTTGGGATATGCTAAATGCGACTGGATTTTCTATACAACACTGAAAACTAGAGAAGAACTTCGCGTTATTCTCCAGTTTTTCAACTATGCGCTTTTTGACCTGGAAGTGGAAGTTTAATAAACCAAATTTTTCACCAATTTTCCATCACCTCATTCAACGGATCGAAGTGATCTTTCTTCACGGATAACAGAATCAGACAAGCAGAACTTCCCTCCCACGGAAAGGAGATAAAAGCGTAGACGAAACCCCTAAAAAAACTAGTAGATCACTTATACAAAAACATGATGTGCAGGCACTTGTCATTAAAATTCGGCAAGCAAATGGGTGTCCACGTCTGCGCCTCCGAGAGTCGCAGCGAGCTGTTTCCGGAGATCAAATTGAGTAAGATATGAGTGTCCCGTGGATGGAGTGCGTAGCGTTTCAACCTCACGAAAGCAGCCACGTGCCTATGCGCAATCATAAGTCCGAAGAGTACTCCCTGACCAAGAACTTCTTTTGCTTTGAATTCCTTCACCGCTTCACAGCATTGACTTACATCAAGTTTGGAAGCTGTAAGACATGAAGCCATTGTTGACGATAAAAAGTCTCTATCTGATGGTGGCATTGGAATTATTCGAATAGCTGTCTGTAGTAGAGAGATGTCAGTGCGCCAAGCCATTACGCTGCTGTCCATATATCTAAAGTGCGCAAATTTATGAAAATGCCTTCTATCCATAATGCCTACTGCAAAATCATAGAATTGCTAAGCTAAAGTTTTGTCGGTGAGTCAAACAGAACCCTCCACTAAGTAATCTTATTGCATGGCGAGGGAATCAAATCCGTAATTGGCACAGCTTCAAGGGTATTCGAGGAATATTAAAAGAGGGTCATTCAAACATCCGAATACTCGAAAAATCTTAGAAAGCATTTGTTGGATATTTAAATATTCCAACATTGCCTTCGAATATACAAATATTGCGTACTAATATTCGACTACTGCATTCGAATCTCAATTAATCCAGTTATTCGATTATTCGAATAGTCGAATACGACCGAGTTCAGTTAGTCGGATATTCAAAAATTTGAATTTTGGAATGTGCCCATATTCGAATATTCAAGTTCGAATAATAAGAGAATCAGAATTCGAATAATGATTGGTTCGCAAATTTTTTTAAAATGAATTATTCGATATTCATTCGTTCGAAAAAAATTCTAAAAATCAGTTATGCGATATTCGTTCATTCTACCTTGCTGTCTTCAAATGCCACTCTTACAAAAGGGATCCGCGCCCTAGAAGACTCACTAAAAGACAACGTTCCGGCAAAGTGAGAGCTGTGGGCTTTCGCAACGATGTTAAAAAAGATCTTGTATTCAAGTGTTGGTTGAAGTTCGAAGCAAAAAAGGGGGTCTACCAAAATAGAATCTGCCCAAAAGTGATCCGGATCTTACGGTAGGCCCGGACGCCGCCCAGTCAAACTGCAAGGCTGGAGCCGCGCGTGCTAACGTCCTAATCCAAACACGCTTCAAGAGAAGCCCATTTCGACATCTTCACGGCCTGCAGGCTGCGCAGTAGGAATCATCGGGACAGCCAAGCCAAGGTAAATGGCAAATTTTCAAAATCAGGTTTTGCCGGGACGCACCCAGACAAGGTACACTGCAGAATGATCCTAGCGTTGAGATTCCCTTCTGAACTTCATAATCTAGACCAATAGACTCACTTCAAACTGGAAGAAGCGCATTTATACTACTCAGCGGATATACCGCACACAATTATTCACTCATACCGATGTGTTGGAACCCACTTGTCTGTTCCTCTTAATAGCCGCCTCAAATCGTAATTATCTCCTTTTTTGGTGTAGACAACATCAAGCTGTGATCTTGACAGAGTCGAGACGATCTGATCGAATAAGACATTCAACTGCTCGTCCAGTTGCTCGTACGTGCGAGAGACTGTAGCCCATTTTGTAAAAGAAATAGGGTCCTACCCAACAATACAACTGACCTATGCACAATATGAGCGACGATCGCTGACAAAACTGGACGTGCACATCGCCAGAGGAGAATTGCAGCAAGCGATCTCCCCATACTTTGACTCGCGATACGAAAACGCCAATAAGTGCAAATAAAGAACAGAGCTGGTCTTCTTGGCCACACCTCAAATTCATACGTATAAAAGCAAAAATTATGTCTCAAAAACTTCACTCACGAAACAAAGATGGGCCTCCCGTACTCAGATAACACAAATACTTGATAAGGGAACTTGGATAAACGATCAAGCACTGACTCAGTACTTGTTCTTCTCTCTGGTGTATCCTCTTCTTTCAATTCGATCTGCAATCCAAATCACTGAGCCAATTGCATTGGGTGTTTAAAAAACCACGTCCTGATAAGGCCCGCTCCAGCGTTTAACCGCGTTTCCGTACTCTTAAGAAGCCGGGATTCGCTAACGACGAGTGTGCGCCCTCGACGAAGGATCTTGTCTATTTCTTTGCGTTAGATAGATAGCACACGCACTAGTCATGCCAGTTAGAATACAAACTTCCTGACTAGTGAGTTACGCCCAGATCCGCCCATCTTATATATAAAGCTGAATGTCTGTTTGTATGTCTGTCTGTATGTCTGTCTGTCTGTATGTGTGTACGTATGTTCCGAATAGAAAATTCCATTTCTGAACCGATCCGGACCAAACTTGGCACACATACACTACGGGCCCCGGCGGGTGTCACAGGCTACTTTTCGTCATCGATCGATATCGATTTTATCGATTTTTATCGATTTTTTTGCTGAGTTCACCTTCGGGGCTGGGAGTTGGCACAGGGGGGTAATCGAGCATGCTGATCACCCCCGTGGGGGTGATCAGCATGCTCGATTACACCCCTGTGCCAAATTCCAGCCCCCTAGCTCAAATTTTCAAAAAATCGATAAAATCGATAAAAGTAATGGACGATCTTGAAAACTAATATTGTATTCGTAATCTGCATGCTCGATTACCCCCCCTGTGCAAACTCCCAGCCCCGCAGGTCAAACTTTACAAAAAAATCGATAAAATCGATAAAAGTAATGGACGATCCTGAAAACTAATATTGTGTTCGTAATCAGCATGCTCGATTACCTCCCTGTGCAAAATCCCAGCCTCGCATGTCAAAATTTACAAAAAATCGATAAAATCAATAAAAGTAATCGATAATTCTGAAAACTAATATTGTATTCGGAATTCCCATGCTCACTTCCCCCCCTGTGCCAACTCCTAGCCCTGTAGGTGAACTCTCAAAAAAAATCGATAAAAATCGGTAAAATCGACATCGATCGATAACAAAAAGTGGACTGTGACACCCGCCGGGGCCCGAAGTGTATGTGTGCCAAGTTTGGTCCGGATACGGCGGAGCCGGGTAAGCCAGCTAGTAAAAAGTAAACTTCAAAAGCGTCTTTCAAGGCATCTCAGATTGCTTGCTTCACTTTGGAAAAAATCTTTTGGGGAAATACTTATCTTATATATAAAGCTGAATGTCTGTTTGTCTGTCTGTCTGTATGTCTGTCTGTATGTCTGTCTGTCTGTATGTATGTACGTATGTTCCGAATACAAATTTTTATTTCTGAACCGATCGGGACCAAACTTGGCACACATATACTTCAGGGCAGGGAGCGTGTCATAGGCTACTTTTCGTTATCGATCGATATCGATTTTATTGATTTTTTGCAAAATTCGAGCTAGAGGGCTGGGATTTGGCAGAGGGGGGTAATCGAGCATGCTGATCACCCCGAAGGGGTGATCAGCATGCTCGATTACCCCCCTGTGCAAAATCCTAGCCCCCTAGCTCAAATTTTGCAAAAAATCGGTAAAATCGACATCGATCGATAACGAAAAGTGGGCTGTGACACGCTCCCTGCCCCGAAGTGTATGTGTGCAAAGTTCGGTCCCAATCGGTTCAGAGATAAAAATTTCTATTCGGAACATACGTACACGGGTCTAGCTGGCAGGCCCGGCGGAGCCGGGCAAGCCAGCTAGTAGCTTATGGGGAACAACCTGTACTGCGCCTAAAAATGCCAAATATCCACTGAATCTCAAATCAGAAAAACCTGGTTAACAGGAAGACTGGAACTGTTGAGAGTTTGATCAATGAGTGACGAATCCAGGGAGCCGTCTCCACCCGGTGTGACGTCCGCTTCCAGCATTCCTGATTGTTTACATTTTAGCCGATTATGTTGCTGCAACCGAATACAGCAACAATGACAGAGATGAAGGGAAAGTCCACACTCGTAACTCAAGGCTGACAAAAAGTGAAACTTTATCACAGTACTATAGCAAGACTAGCAAACTATCACTATGTCATCGGATGACGCTGATTACAAACTCAAGAGTTGATACCTATGTACACTATTATGGGAGGATAAGTACATTAATGCACAGAGTAATTATTGAGTCAACGTCATAGTATTATGCTGATAATGACAATAGAAGGAAATGACGGTGAGTACCAAACTCAAAATTGAAATTATGCATACGTTAGCAGCCTTAAGAATTGAGATGAGCAGGCAGCAGCAAAATAAGCGTCATATTGCAAAAGTGAAACTCATAGAGAACAGACACATTAATGAAGAAATATCGGTTGATAAACTACATTTCCGTCCTTTCCAACAATGTTTGCAGATCCTAAAAGATTATGATTGTTATCGTTCAAAAAAAAATTCTCGTTATTTGAAAGCGGTCTCAAATACTTCAACGTGCGTTACCCATTCGCCAAACTTTGGTGACCATAACTTTAACCATAAGAAGAAAAAAAGTTGCCTAAGCTTTGCTGATTTCAGATGTACATGAACACAAGTAATACTTCAAAGAAAAAACGCTCAGTGGCCATATTCAACAATAAACCGAGCGTATTTTAAAAGGAGCGATTTTTAGTGTCAGATGGACAACAAGAGCGCATTTTTAGTGCTTGATAACGCTCTCAGACTCTTTCAAAACTCTGGAGAATTATGGAAGGTCGCATGGTTTGACTTTATGATCTTGAAGTGCATTCAAGACATAAACATTGGAGACCAAAAATCCGTGGAAATGCCACAAAGGACAATCTCGTATTTTTTATTATGATATTTCGATCAATTTCTACTCAAAAGCCGTCAAACATAGCAAGTGTTGACTTCATATGACTAGTAAAGAGCACTTCTTCTGATAATGTTGAAAGACTTGCATAGCCCCAAGCTAAGCTAGTGAATTGGTGACCTTTGGAGAAAGCACACCTTTTGTCCGTGTTCTCAAAAAACCCTGGGACAAAATACAAATTGATACTACTACGGCAGGCTGGTACTCACTAGAGTACATGATAATGTCCTATGGAAGTTTTTTAGCGTCATTTTGTGAATGCTGCACTGTCCAATGAATTCAGTGTGAGATCTCACCCGCTGAAGAATGATATTTTTCGACAACGTCTCTTCCAACATGCGCTGTAGCTTTCTGTTCATTTCTCTCACATCATTCGTTGCGTCATCTCCAGTCAAAGTGGTAGTAAGAAACCTTCGCAAGCTTCCTATAAAACATGCTTAAGTGAAAGAAACCGAATGACAACATTTGCACCCGGTACATACCTTCTGGTTTGCCAGATGTATATGTTCCAGAGCCTTGACCAAGGGGACGCTTTCTTATCCAATGCTCAATGAGTTCTCGCTTCTCCTCGATCTCACGATTCAACCGAAGATTTTCGCCTTCGAGCAGATTAATCTAAAAAGTCACCCATATCACAATGACGAACTTAAGATAAACAATTAAATGCGCACTCTATCCATAGCATCAGCATGTGTTCGTTGCAGAGCAGTAAGTCTACTGATCAGTTCAGCGTTATCCGACTCGAGAGCACTTACTGATGACACACTACGGCTGTCAGCACCATCCAAAGTCTAAAGAGCCAAAAAGAAATTAAAGACGAGAAAGGAAAGACATTTCAAAGATGTATAAAACTTGGACTATCAAGAAACATGAAGTGTCGGTGAACAGAATTCAGACCGAAGAACTGTCAAGCCACCTTCCCTCTACATCACCAATAAAAGCAAAAGGGAAAGTTCATTGTCTTGCGTAAGCCTCGCTTTTACATCATTAATGCCTATACAGTCTGCTTCACATATTTACACCACATCACCAACAACTAGTAACAAGGAGGCCATCAGGGTTCTGATGCGTACCTGGCCACTTCTTGAATCTGGATCAGATACCAGATGCCATCCTCGCTCTTCTGGTGAGCTCATACCATGCTTCTCCAGAGACTCAGCTCGCTTTTTCTCCTCTCGTAACGCACGTTGAAGTTCTTTGACCAGTGCAGCTTGTTTCTTGAGAGCCATGGCCTGTAGATTTGCAGAGTAAGACAAAGAGAATGCACGAAGTCATACACAATGACCGCCAAAAAGTTGCGGACAAGTCGCCCTCCATTTTTAATCGCTCATTTTCAGATGAAAAACAAGAATGAAAAAATGATCAGATTGCATGAGATGATAGAGCTCTTCAAGAGCTGCAACCTACATATTACGCTTTCTAGAAAACGTTATTTTCAAAAACTTAAGAATCTTTTACCAAAAAAAGCGCAAAGATGGCCGCGTCACAAAGTCGCGGACAACATTCTCTGAACGCAAAGTTTTTTGAGCTCTTTTTTTGAGAGGAAACACAAGCTATACGGATAAGCGTACATCATACAGAGCTCATAAAGTACTATAATCATGGTTTGTTACTACAAAAGCACAAGCTAGAACTTATTTTGCAGTTTTTACAAAATAACTTCCAAATTCCTCCCAAACCAAGATTCTTCGCATGAAGACTGATGCAAAACATCCTAACAAAGTCTTCTAAATGAAATGAATGTGCTCTTTACCTCAACCTCCGCAACGGACCTGTGCTAGCGAGTTTCTTTGCTGAAAAGGACTCTTGGAAGCGCGTGCACATGACCTCATCTGCACTTCATTGATGCTTGTACCGCTTTACAACTTGTAGCTCGGTCGCTAGTCACTCTACGAGCATGTACGTACCTTATACGAAAAAGCGCGACTTCAGGACACGAGGTTATGCAAACGGGTTTAGTTCAAGAAATCCCGGGAAATTTGAGGATGGATTGAAAAAAAAAACGCAGCTCCATGGTAGGCTAAAGATTTTCCAGCCGAACTTGAGCTCCTTTCCCTACCAGCTTCATATTGGAAATTAAAAGCTGCCAGTTTTCTTGTAATAAATCAACTTCGAAGCTCTAAGACTGTTTCGTTGTTGATGAGAGCCTCTGTCTAGTTCCAATACTTCAGAAAGTATGGATAAGCCACCAAAAATCGACAAAGTGTATAGTTCATCGGTACTGCAGCCTTGAGCAAATGAAGATGAATAAACAGAAGTAGCAATCGGAGTCGGTTTGCCAGCTATCAGCGGCTATACTTACAATAAGATCTGATTCGCTCAATGCGCGCAAACTCATTGGCGTGTGCTTTTCTCTATGTGAACTTGTCCTACTAATCGGAATGACATTGACCTATTTTCAACTGCATTGTGCGATAGCTTTGATAAAGCCTACACTCCTGAAGCCGATTCAAATGGGGGGGGGGGAGAAAACTCTCACAAGATAATTATGGCCACTGCCGATGAAGCTCTAAGGCCCGTATGCACGTACATCCCCGCGGGGAGGGGATGTGCGCTTAACCATTGAAATGATCCCCGCTGGGGATCCCCTCCCCTCCCCGCGCGAACCCCCGTATGCACAAAGACAATATCGTACAAGGGATCCCCTGTGGGGAGGGGAAGTGAACCCTCTTATGCACAAGAGGGAATCAAGCGGGGAAATCACCTTGCTTTCAAATTTTCTATGAAAAACTCTTTCTTATTTCATATTTTGACTGCAACTCATCTTCATCTCCTCACTTCAATTAATTTAGGGTTGCGGAATGTGCGTATGCAGTGGGTGTGTGACGTTTCGCACGACCGTAATGCTTTCCCCACAGGACCGCCGCCGCGCGCGACACACCCTGCGGCGGCTTTTGCCTAAGCAAAACAGGGGGAGGAAAGATTTGCGGCGTGCAATACATGTTGAGACAAGTCAAAATCAGGGAGACGCTGGAGACCGCCCGTGCGAAAAGACCGTCTCCCGTATGCAGTGACTGCGCTCGGGGCGCTAAAAATGGATTTTTTCTACTCCCATTATGTTCCTGCTTTCTTGGATGCTGCCCACTTTCGTTCATGCTGCTCCATTTCAGCGTCAAAATGTTGAACTATAGAAGTTGATGTGTCTCTGCAAGGGAATGGGTAGAAGACGTTATGCTGCCGAAAAGGGGGGGGGGGTGCCGCGCGGACGCTCAAAGCAGTATTCTAACACATAACAGAAGCTGCAAATTGTGCCAGCTCTCCATAAACGCTGTAACTATCAGCTGCATATCGTCGTTTATCCCAGGGAATGATCCCCAGCAGCCATCCCTGCTATGCACAAGGGGAACGCTGGGGAGGGGATCACTCCCCAGGGGATTTCTACTCAGAAATAGGCAAATATGCTACTTTCTAGACTTTTTCGAGGCAGCTAATGTTAAAAAAACATGATAATGGCAACATGTCATGAAATATGAAAGTTACAGTGTGTTTATTCAACCTATATAGTTAAAACTATTATGTTATATGAAAAATGCGCAAATTTCCTGAATGATCAAGAACTCCTACAAATAATCGAAATTGGCAGCTATTGTTGCTCGGATTTCTTCTCAAGAGGCGAATATAGAAAAGAAAGACAAATTGCAAGCCACAGGTCGCTGAGAGAAGAACCCGGCTTTCAAAGAAAATCCTCCATCAAAATGAACGAAATGCTTGGTAATGACTGAGCAGAACCAGAATATTCGCGTCTTTGGCATGATCTACACCATCGAACCCCTACTTCGTTGCAGGGGATGTCGATCCCCTCCCCCGCGTTATTGAGTTGAATTCGCGCATACGGGGTTCGAGTGGGGGAAGGGAAGGGATCCCCTCCCCCATTCGAATCCCGTATGCACTGGGGTTCGCTCGATCAATACCTCTGAATCATTCACACCATCCCCGCTTAGGTGCAGGGGAGGGGATCGCTCCCCTCCCCTCTGTCATGGCGGGGTTCGGCGGAGGGGATCGTTCCCCTGGGGATCCAGCTCCCCTCCCCTCCCCAGCGGGGACGTACGTGCATACGGGCCTAAGACCCTTATGCACGTACCCTCGAAATCAACCCATATGTCTTCCCTCAACATGACGTGGGCGTGGATTGATGAGACGCCGCCTCGCTTCGGGGTCGCGCTACGTTGCGAGCGCATTGTTTGGCGCGACGTGGCGTTCAAAACAACGTGACGCAGGCTTTCAGTTGAACTTGTTGCCACGTCACACCGAAGATGTGCTCGCAACGTGGCGCGAGCCTGAAGCGAGGCGGCGCCTCATCAATCCACGTAATGTTGAGAGAATGCATATGGGTTGATATCGTTGGACATCCCCGCGAGGACGGGAGGGGATCCGAGAAGGGACGCATCATATCTCGCTACTCAAGATATCTTCCTTCTTCTTTTCTACCTGGCTTATGAAGGTTCTCATATCCTTATACCTGCGCAGTGCGCATAATAGATGCCAGGTTACTGCCATACAAGATTAGATTTTCACTATTTTGTGTGATATCCCCTGGGAATCCGCACAGGATCACCTCTCATTTTCAAACTCAATTATCTTCCTGAAAACTCGATGGAAACGCTATGAAATTGTACTGAGGATATACTACGGTACTGCTAAGCATGTTTTCCACAGAAGAAATGAATGGAGATTGTGACTGTTTCGATAGTCTCTGTTCGCAAGCAATGGTTCATCGAAAATTTCGAAATCCTGAAATTCCCCTTTTCCTCTGTTACATACATGTTAAGCAGTGCGGTAGTATATCCTCAGTATAATTTTACAGCGTTTCAATTGAGTTTTTAGGAGAATAAATGAGAGACGATCCCTTGGGGATTCCCTGGAGACCACACAAAATAGTGGAAATTTAGTCTTGTATGGCAGTAACTTGGCATCCATCATGCGCAGGTCAGGGTGTGAGAACCCTTATAAGCCGATAGAGAAAGAAGAAGAAAAATATTTAGGGCCGCATGCACTAACCTCCCCGCGGGGAGGGGATCGCGGCTTAAAAGAAAGCTTAATATTTCGAAACTCCAGATACCTGGATTTCACGTTGTGTACCTATCCGTAAGTATTCCTACTACCCTTTACTATGAACATGTTGAAGAGGAGCGAGAAGCTGCACGAACCGCATTTTCCAGCTTTTGTATGATCCCTGATCATCCCCGGCGTTTCTCTTTGAAGTCATTTTTCTTTCTCCAAAGTTAACGTATAACCTCCAAAGTTGTACTGAACATCTAACAAAACAGAGCTAAGCATGTTGCTGATGAGAACAAATGAGTTTTTGAAAAGTCGAATTTTTCGGTAAACCTCAAATTTCGACCTATGGATCATCGAAAATTTCGTGACTTCAAAACATCATTTGTTCTTATCAGCAACATGCTTAGCACTATTGTGTTAGATGTTCACTACAACTTTGGAAGGTTTTCGTTAACTTCGGGGAAAGAAAAATGACTTTAAAGAAAAGCGCCGGGGATCATCAGGGATCATACAAAAGCTGGAAAATGCGGTTCGTACAGCTTCTCGCTCCTCTTCAACATGTTCATAGTGAAAGGTAGTAGGAATACTTACGGATAGGTACACAATGTAAAATCCAGGTATCTGGAGTTTCGAATTATGAAGCTTTCTTTTGAGCTGCGATCCCCTCCCCGCGGGGAGGTTAGTGCATGCGGCCCTTAAAGTAGCGGAATTTGACGCGTCCCCTCTCAGATTCCCCCCCCCCCCCCTCCCCGCGGGGATGTAAGTGCATACGGGCCTATTCTCTGCATACATTCAACAACTGGAGATGAAGCGAGGAAGCCTGAAAGCACAGGCTAAATTAAGATTACCTAAAACAATCGGAAGTTGCCGCTTTCAATTAGCAAATTCTCTAACAGAATCTGGCCAATTGCTGAAGCCATTTTTCGGTTCGAACCACCTAATAACAGCAGATCATTGCTCAATACGAAGCGACTTCAAAGCCAAAACATTCCCAATCTTTACTAAAGGCAATCCAAGCAATAGAAATACTAGGGGGCCCTAGCCAGACTTCGCTCAGAAGCGCCCAAAGGCGCTCAAAAACGCTTAGAAGCGCCCAAATTTCTCTAACCTCTCTTCACTTTCGCGTATGAGGAGAGATAAAGTAAGAGATGTCAGAGAAAATTGAGCGCTTTTTAGTGCTTTTGAGCGAAGTCTGGCTGGGCCGACTTGATCATCAAAAAAAAAAACACGGAAAAAAGGCAGACCTTTTCCTCATCCTTTGCTGCCAGTGCAGCCTCGAGAGCACGTAATTTCCTATTCCACTCTTCTTTCTCCTTTTCAAAAACCTTTTCGCGATCAGACACTTCCTGCAGCAAAATTGTAAAGCTGTATAAAAGAAAGAGACCGGGCACACTCACAAGCTGATAGCGAGTTTCCAACAACAAAAGACGATCCTCTACTTGCTTCTCACCTGTTTCTTCCATAGCACTGATTTTATCTTTTAGCTGAAACATCAAACTGCTTAACGTAGAAAAAATTGAATGCAACCTCTTACAGCTTCACATTCAGAAGTCAACTCATCCCTTAGAGCTTGCATTTTCTGCGCATGTTCCTTCTCTTCCGATAAAAGCTTCTCTGTTAGGGTTGTCACTTCCTGCAACATACATCAGTACCTCAGAAAGTGAAATTTAGCAAGTACCATAACAAACCTCTTCTGCTTCAGTTTTCTCCTTGATGCGATGTTCTTCAAGATCAGTAACTTTCGATTTCTCTGTCTCCAGTTCTTCCCGACAAAGCAGGATTTGCTTATTCATAGCCTTCTGAATACGTGGGGATTCAAATCGACTTGATATACCAAGATCAAACGCGTACATTATCAGTTTGAAGTTTTTCGTACTCATCTTCTCTCGAGGCAATCCACTGCATGACTTCTGACATTACCTCCTCCAGAGAATCTCGATCGTGCAACTCCGCGTCAATCTTCTTTCCCAACAACCTTCCATATATCAATGATAATAAAGAATGTAAGTGAGAATTGACTTCGTCTTTCTGAACAAAACTATTTACGTGCTACACATCAAATGGAAGATAGAGATCTGCTTACTTTAGAGAGAATATCTTTCAACCCATTCAACTCCTTCATTAGTGAGCTCATTTGAAGCTCTTTGTCTTTCAAAAGAGCATTCGATGAAGCTTGTTCTTTGGAATGATTTGAAGCAAGACTTTCTAGCTCCACCACTCTGAAAAGAATGCCATTCATTCATTAGCAGTGTACAAAAACTACTCAAACATTATCGAGGCTAGCATAAACACCTTACGCTGTGCATTGTAGAAGCATGTGCTTACCTCGCCTTATACTCCAACAACTTGTTTTCCAAAGCTGAAACCATAGACTCTTTCTCAGCCAGGGATGATTCCACTTCACTAATCCGATCGAGCTGCTCATTTCTCGCTACTAAATGATCTAGATGATCTGTAATAAAAACACATGAATAAATGAATTTTACCCGCTGAGTCGTTCTTTGCTGGATCTGCATCACCAGTATCTTGTCGTATATCGCCGTTGGTTTGAGCTTCGACAAATGTACGCGATTCACATGGTGTTCCTATGAGAGAGCAATATGCAACTATGATATCGACTGTCCTGAAAAACAAAATACCTGCTTGCGGAGATGAGTATAGCGATCCACATGCTCTATACTGGTCCAATTCCCTTTGCATGGACTGGTTTTGCGAAACGACCTTCAACATAGAATTAGGCATACAACAGGAAAGCATAACGAGGTTGGTGTCTCATCAACGCGAGACGTTTGCTTGGATCTACGAAAGATGGTGCGCTAGCAGAGAGAAAATCTAGAGGAAATCCATGGATACAGACGTTACTTTAGACAACGATGGGGTTCTGCGCTGCAATGTGCAATGAAAAGGAGCCCCCCACTACACTCACCAAGAATGAATACGACAAATCAAAGGCTAGGCTCTAGTACAAGACAAACTATCTAGCAAGTTCCATAGTCGGCAACACTTTAGCAACTTTGAAGTCAAAAAATGATCACGTAGCCAACTTGCTCACCACTAATTCAAAGATTTGCGCTTTACAAGTTCAATGTGAGTAACTCTATTGGGATGAGATTTCTCGACAGATATACAATCATATCCTGATGTGACCTGCAAGCTCACCTTATTCAACTCAGATATTAATGTTTCCTGTTGCAGACGAAATTCTTCTTCTTGTGTAGTCAGCTTTACCCTAAGTGCATCCAATTCGCTTTCGTATTTCTGTGTGAGTTCCTTCTCTTTGTCTTTTCGACTCATCAGCTGAAAAACGAAATGTGCACAGGCGAAAGAATGAGAGCGAAGACGAAGACATACTATTCCACATTAGGCACGTGCCATACTTGATCCGCTTGATCCACTTGATCTTGGTTAATTCAGCAAACGAACCGACGGCGAACAGGAAGAAGCGGATCAAGTATGGCGGGTGCCTTAGTTGATGAAAACTCAAGGTTAAAAATCCAGGATTTCACTTAGAGGCGTTATTTGGCACCCAACACAAACATCTCAATGCTTCTGCGCTAAAGCGTTATTTCTGAGAATGGTCGAGCACACCACAAATGGGTCTAGATCTTGAATTTGCTGAAACGCGTTTCAACATGCTAGTTATGAACATAATGTCGGCCGTCGTTAAAGCATATTTTCTGTACGATTAAGGTGTAACATACCACATACGCGGGGCACCTTCAAAAAGACGCTACTGAAGTCATCGTTATCAGCAGGCTAAAAAGTCCATGAAAAGTTGTGAGCCAGCTTGAAATTATGCATCTGTTGCATCTGCATACACCGTGAACTTAGGAATGGCGCTAGAGCGCGAACTATGATATTCTTGATGAAAGTGCCAAATAACTCCTTTGGGCATTAGTTTAAGCAAGATAATCCCCAACATGGAACCTTTGAAGCAAAGAACGTGCCATAGCACAGAAAAAACAATATATAACAATGTATATATAACTGTAAATCTGCACTCACCTTACTCGCAAACTGTAGCGCTTCTGATTTTGGAGAGGAAAGCTGAGCAATCTCATGATTTTTTTTCTGCAGGCATTCTTGGAGCTCATAATTCCTATTACGCAACGCGATAAGTTGCTCTTGGAGTACTAAGAATTCCTCTCTCGACAGTCCCCCGCCTGCAGACATAAGCTAACCACCTAAAACACTTTCAGTGAGACGAGTGCGAAAACACTAAACCTCCAAAAGCGATAATGTGTCATGGGAAATAGTGACGTGAACATGAATGTGTCCGCAATCGCGTACAGCGAGTCGCCTTGCTTTGGGGTCGAGCCAAGAAATTATTTTACCGTCGTTCGTTCTTAGCAAGTGGTTTCTAGCTTAAGCTAACGGAACAATCTATCTATTGGTTGTTGCTCATAAAATGAGAAAGGAAATAGCATTGGGGAGGGGGTGAGGGTGCTCGCGGCGCTGCCATTCCATGAGTTTCATGGAGGATGTCTTCGCTTAATTTTTTTCTGTTTTGTCTCAACATACGTAGCTTTATGGTTGAGCTAACTTTGTGCATTCGACTGTGAGCTTTGTTTTGAATGAATTCTTCCTTTCGCGCCGTATATAATCACTTCAGTTTTTCAGGTAGAATGTCCATTATGGACGAGCCAGTAGTGATTCAACTAAGTCGCCCTGAGGTAACAGATTTAACTCAAAATTTTCTTAGGATCTCATAGCTGTTTACCGGCCGTTTCTAGGTGTACGTTAATCATCTTTCATTTGGAGGACGAGATGCAGTAGCAGCAACACTCAGCAATGACTTCATTCATCTTGTAGACATAGAAGCAAAAAAATCCAAGCAGACTTTAGATGTTGCCAAAAGAGTCGTTGGCATACATTTCGACCTCACTGGTAGCGCTGGTCAGTTTTTTTCTTTCGAATAAGGAGACTGTGTGCGAACTATCGATTTTGAATATCTGGATTTTGTGTACAAACAAAAGGCATAACTTTAGTCTGTCCTTCACTTCCGGTATCATGTGCAAGCATAAAAACGATCCATATAGGGATGGAAGCTAGGAAAATGTCGTTTTCAAAACTGCATACACGACGCACACAGTGCCGCCATCGTCACGATTTTTTGAATGCCCCATAGTTAATATGAAAATTGTCCTCTTTCCCTGACAAGGAACGTGATTTTAGTCAAATACCCTTTCCAGACGGAATCTAAATAGTTTTGAAGAGCATTGAATGCTGATCTCAAATCTATCTTCACTTCCTACTGTGCGTCTGAACGCCGAGTTAGGAACGATTTGGGCCAAAAATGAAGGGGCAACTAAAACAAAATCATTCCAAATTGCTTAGATGGGATAGTGACGGGTATTAGAACACTTTATGCAGTGCACTTTTGACTAGTATGCTACACTCGCCACCGCCCTGTTTGAGCGCTGAAGAGGATAATGACTGATTTTATCCAGATTATGCGTTTACTTTTTGGCCCAAGAAACAACTCATAACTCGGCAGCCAAAGTGCGCAGCAGATACCAAGGACGGAATTGAAATCAGCGTCTGCTTTTCTATCAATATAAAGCTCATTTGGAAAGGCCACTTCCACCAAAAACATATTCCTTGTGAGTTTTAAGGTACATCATCATGATTATTCTGTGAGGGACCAGTAATACTTCACCCATTAGCGTTGAAAAATGCCAGAAAGCGCCAAGAAGGCTTTCATTCGCCTGCGCAATCTTGAGGCTGGAGCTCAACTTAGCTTCAGCAGTAAAACAAACTAGTAGTCCGAAAAAAAAAACCCCACTCGCGGTTTCTTAAACCTCGAAAATGAAGAGCCTTATGATGACTGCACTTCGAATCATTTTCACATTGTCGAAGCAGAAAATTCAAACGAGTTCAGTCGCAAAAATTCAACGTTAGAAATATGACCATTATGCACAACACATCATCAAAGCATTACTGTGCACGTTATTTTTTCAGCGTTTATCGGGATAGTACGATACCTTAGAAACAGTGTTCCGGCAGATTTTGCGTTTCCACCTTCCTTCTGACTGGGTGAAAAGACCGTTTTGAGGTGCTTACCCAATTTCCAAAAGATAGCTCCTTAGGGAACGACCATACTATTCCAGGAGGTGATTTCTGCGATTCCTATTATTCCCGCAATTGTGTGATTCCTCGACTTCCGATGTGCCGCTGTACGGAGCGCTTTGCGAACTTCAGTATACATTGAATATACCATTGTTGCGGGACCCGCAGGAATCACAGGAAGCGAAGAAATTACAGGAATCACAGAAATAGTATGGCCGGTCCTTAGGGAATGGCCACAGGTTGCCGGAGGGTTCCTTCATACTGCGCCGCGTACGCCGCTGCAGCGCAATGGAAATATGCTCACGGCAGCACAGCTCCTCTTTTTTTCATCGACAGATATGAAGTGAGATTAATACCCGAATTTTTTGCCGCATTGACTGTATGATGTAGCTGAAGTCAGCGCCGAAGCTTGAATGATGTTTTGTGAGCGAAGAAAACAAAATGCGGCAACAACGGCGCATTAAATTTGCAATTGCACTAACAGTACGAAGAAGAGAAATCCTTTTCATCCAGTGATGTGGTGTTTGTAAGGAGACGCTAACAGCGCAAATATACAACCAGATGCAACATACCAATATACAACCAGATGACGCAATGTGCAGTCGGTTACGATACAAAAAAACTTAAAAGTAGAGGGAGCACAACAACCTAAGTCATTCCATCAGTCACTGATATAGACAAAGGAATAGACAGGATAAACAAAGCAAAAGAGAGGAAGAAATGCATAATGTGAAGGAACACTATTGAGGGACACAATGTGCAGCAAATATAGAGATACATCAAAAAAAAAGTGGAGCTCTGCTGCCGTGAGCATATTTCCATTGCGCTGCAGCGGCGTACGCGGCTTGGGCGGCGTAGTATGAAGGAACCCGGAGTTGCCGGCATTGTCGGTCGTTCTGACCTCATGATAGCCTCCACGTTTCGCGCACTCTCTAAGCTGTTTCTAACCCCGGCAACCCCAGCAACCTCGGCAACAGTTGCCGGCAACCTATGACCGTTCCCCTAGGAGGTTCCAGTGAAACCCCTGCCGCACTTAGTTTTTGTCTTTACATAGCATGCATAACGCGGGGCGGTCGTGGTGTCCCGCGCTGAACAGGTAAGTGAAGCGTCCGAGGGGGACTGTATGTCGCCGAAAGTGGGAGGTCCTGCCGGACATGTGCAACAAACACATTCCATTTACATGCACAGGCTGAGTATGTGCTGCATGGTCCACGCGGTTCTCCCACTTTTGGAGGCATATAGTCCTGTACCCCCGTCCGAGCGCGCCGGTTTGAGGGCTATTTCTCGGCGCAGGGGGAACATCAACAAGCCGGACTGGGTTGAAGGCTAGTGGTATGTTCAGGACCTCACCACAGCGATGTCTCTAGGACGCAAATCTACAGGGGCACTGTTAAGCTAGGTGAAAAAGAATAGTATATCTTGTAAATCGTTAAGTCATATTGGAATTGCAAGAAATATTATGGTAAAACAGACCTGGCATTAACGAATCGACGATACATGACGATGCAATCGACGATACATGACGATGTCAGCATGGCATTGGCCACGCTGACATCGTCATGTATCGTCGATTCGTTAACCGCACGGACTGCTCAAACGTTGCGGACCAGGCGCGAAGCTGCTAGAATGCGGCGACCGAGATTTTGACTTGCTCTTAATTCCATAATTTGGAGGTTATTTGAAGTGGGATTCCTAATGGAGCAAAGAGGTTGAAGTCTGCAAAACAGGTGCAAAAAGAAGTAGTTATTCTTTGAAACAAAGTTAGCATGTTCGAAAACGACCATCTCATTGGGTGCGCTCTAACGGCTGAGATATGCCCCTCGAAACTAGACCCCGCGATCATATTCGGATGGCATGGCATTTTTGCGCCAGGATCCACGCTTTGCGCCATGAATCCATGTGAAATACGATCGCGGGGTCCAGTTTCGAGGGGCATATCTCAGCGGGTGGAGGAACGAACACCTCAATTAGGCACCGACTCCGCGGACCACTGGTCCCAACACGATGCACAACAGTAGGACGAAAGGACCAGCAGCCCGCGAAGGCGACACCTATAGGTGTCGTTATAATGTAATTATAATTGAGGCGTTCGTTCCTCTACCCTATCTCAGCCGTTAGAGCACTACCTGAGCTGCCGGTTGGGCAGTGGCTTAGTTAGGGCCCCAAAATTACTATCCACGTGAGATCCCCATGTGTCCGCCTTTAAGAATTTTCGATTACTTGCTGTACGTATACGATGGCAGGCCAAAACATCAGTGTGCTAGTATTTGGCATAATGAGCCAGTCTGATGCCTATTTATTATACGTCAGTGTTAACGAATATCATGTCATCGTTAACATCGATATCACTTCGATAACGACAACTTCCCCTCCCCGATTCCTCAATACGACCTCTAGGTATGGCATACCACACCTCACGCTTCTGCTCGTTAGTGCTCTTCGAAAACCGCCGCTCATTTTGAATTTATTTTTTTCGACGTTTCCCGGTATTCTGGATACTTCAAGCCCATACTTCTACACTACCTAAGTTGAAAGGCGTAGCGACCTCAGCAACATGCAGGAACTCTTGGACTATTTTCCCGCTCTAGAATTTGCAGCGGGACTTGGCCATTTACCTCAAGAAAATCTTACCTACTGCAGATTCGGACGGTGCCTTCGATAGCACACACGGAAAGCTCTGTGGGGGTTATATGTCAAGATTAACGAAAGCTGGCATTAGTGGTACGCAGAGTGCTGGGGCGTCAATGCGGTGTACAAGTGATTTCCCCCTCTCTCACCCCCCCCCCCCCCGACTTGAAGGGATACACCGTCTTTGAATTGTTAGCTTACGCAGTTTTGTCACAAACGCGAAACTCGTAGAGAATTTTTGGGAATGGGCTGGAGATATGCAATTTTTTCGCAAGAGCTAAGTGACTTGATTTATGTGTTTGTAGTCAAGTTTGTTGATGGTCTATGGAGTGATTGTTAGGACAGTCCCTGTATTATCGGGGCTTTGAGACTTCAAAAGCTTTGAAATCCTACTGGTATTTTATGATTTTTTTCCAGTCTTAAGAGCTGTAGATGACTCCTTCGGAATCCATCTATTTGACATACGATCGGGATCTAAGAAGAAGTCAAGGTAAGCACTTCTTCACTCCCCGTATCCGTCATTGTAAATTTTTTGTGACTACAGAACTGCAACGGATACTGTTTTTAAGAGTTTTAGGGTCAATCCTATTATGGAGAATCATCAAGTTGTTTGCTCTGCGTGCTCTGATCAGTACATAGCACTAGGAAGCTCAACTTTCCTTCTAGAAAGCGATGATAAGAAAAAGGCAAAGGTAATTTGAAGTCATCATCTTTTTGGATCAAACGTTGTTCTTGAAGCAAAAGAATGGAGCTAGTGACGATGACGAAGAGGAGGATGAAAATGAGAACGAAGCTGAGGTTTGTCAATGCAGTTTCTGTTTTATCTAGCACATAAAGTTAGATTCTAGGTTGATTCGAGCCAGATGCCTCATGTCATATCCGTATTCGATCTAAGGAAATGTACAGATCCTGTGCTGACAATCAAGGTAAATGTGCCGTGTTTCACTACAAATGCATTTTTGTTATTACTGTTCTGATGTTTCTTTCTTACACGAGTCATTTCCAAATATTTTTCCGAATTGCTGCGAGATTATGTCTAATATATAATTGAAGCCACAAGCCAGCAGAATAGTTTGAACTGTATTATCGATATCATTGCAAGAATTGAATTGAATTCTTTCATTCGGGGAGGATATGCTGTAATTTATGACAGACACCATCGCGGTCGCGATTTACTAGTAACACCGACAGTCCCGGAAACGGAAACGGAAACGCGTTAATTACTCTTTTTGAGGCTGTGGTAACTCGATGATGATCCATTCCAAGATTACGCGTTTACTCCTGAATGAGATGAGCTATGATTTAGTAATCCACATGCCAACGTAACTTATAGGTGCACATTTGATTTCTTCTGCAGGTGCGTCAGATAATATGCGATCAAAAAATCAGGGCGAGCTATGGAAAGGAAAAAAAGCTGGACTGTTGCTTGTAGGATTTGCTCTATCCATCCTTATTTGAACATCCTTTGGATGGTTGATAAAAAATTTATGAAAATTGTGAAACTTGACCATCTCAAAAACATGGGTCCCAGATTTTGTCAATTTTTCGAAAGCTCATTACTGTGCTGCAGTGGCATTATGACCATTAGAAAGAGGATGAAATGCTGCATTGAATGCCACCAGAATCATTTGATCTTCATTCCACGAAATGTGGCGCTATTCGACAAAAGCGGCATTTTTTCGGGACGACTTAATATAATAGTGACTAAATGCAGTCGTCTAAGCTTGCTACAGCGAATTTCATAGCGAGAAAACCGCTCGAGAAGGTGAAAGCGGCCACACTAACTTCACCTATCAATGCGTGGTCTGAAGATTCGAGTCCGATTGGGCTCCAGGGGACATAGAAAGGTTGTAAATTCAGTGGTCATAATAGAGAGCGGGTCTGTGACAATGCTGCACAAACTGAAGTCCAGGCTTGGACTTGTTATTTTCAGACCACCGAAGTTCGTGGGCGGAGCCTGCTCGACCGTTTTTACCTTTTGGAGCGGTTTTCTCGCTTTGGTTTTTAGCAGCGAGACTTGGGCGACTTCTTAATTTTGGGCCCTATTATTGAACATCATATTTGCTGGGCCGTGCCTTTAAACAAGCAACTGCTAAGTCCGGCTGAAGAAGGTGTATTCAAATACGTGCACTTTCTGTAGTGGGGTAATGTTCGCCACGCCCATCAGCGTGGGTGGTCTAAAGGTAGTTTTTTGGACGGAAGCTGGACTACAGAGTGTATAGAGATGTCGAAATTGTGTTTTTCACAATGAAAGTCGGATCTTTGACGTAGGTATTCTGGAGTCCAGTTTCAAGCTTACATCATCTAGCTCCCAGTAAGTGAGGAAGTGTGGCGAACCTTGGCGCATATTTTCTGAGCTTTTCTCGTTCCAAAATTTACCTTTTGCGGGACTTGGGGTTTGGTGAAAGCCTCGCTATTGTGTCGCGTTAGAACTTAGCTAACATCAGATATAGGTGAACGGTGACTTCACCTACAAGATATTAGGTTCTTTTGCTTTCTTTTGTAATGCTCAGCTTCGAGCACGGTCTTGATCTATTTAGGAATCCCATTCTGACTCCATAAATACCATGGCTTTCATGAGAGATGGGCAGCATTTGATTTCGGGAGGATCTGATGGACTGCTCAATATTTTTGATGCTTCGTTCGGAAAAGAGGACCAGGCTTTACAGAGTACTTGCTCTGTGAGTATACTTCTATTTCAACATAGCTCCCATGTAATTCACTATAATACTCGTTCTGATTTAGGTTGGTTCCTCAATCAATCGGGTCAACAGTCTTTCCAAACGACTCATCTCCGCATGCACTGATGACAACAAATGCGCTGTCTTCGTTCCAAATGCCCCTGATGACATTGATTATCTTTTCATGTTGTTTAGTTCGTCAATTATGATTTTCCGCATATTTAAAGTGTTTTAGGAGAGATGGTGTTGAGGGTCGTTTTCTAGTGGATGCACTCAAAGGGAGTGTGGACGAAAGACCTGTTGCGCTTTTAGAATGTGACTCCGAAGGCACGGTGCGACGTTTTTACTTTCTAATTTTTCACTGCCTCCTCAGCCTACGTCACATCTTCCTGATCTTTTTTAGATGTACGTGCGCACCGTCTCAAAAGATGGTAAACATTCTGAAATAGTTATGCAATGGAAGGGACACACTGATATTGTACGAAGTTGTGCATATAATAACCGTATTTTGGTTACTGGCGGAGAGGATGGAAAGATAGTCGTCAAAAATGTTGATTTGCGGTATGTTTACCGAAAGCAGCTATTTTCAAGTTTGTTCTAGTCGCGCTTCGAATGGAATAGAATACGCTTTGCTTGTCATGACAGTTTTTGTGAATCTGCACGTCCGGATTATCACAGTGCCATTAATTCATCATATATCGGAAATTTCCACACTCGCTTACGGTTTTGTTCAGGCCGGAAGGTGGAAAACCTGAGAAGAAGAAGGACAAGAAAGATGGTGACCATGAAAAGAATGACTCTACGAAGTCAAAAGACAGAAAGGACAAGAAAAAAGAGCGCAAGCCTGGTGAACCGTATTGAGTAAATGTCCACTTTCTAGAATTTTGATTAGAACTACCCGAGCAGTTATTCATTTTCTCCTCCTTGATCTCCATGTATCTTTTTTACAGTATTCAGTATAGGTATTCAAGCTGCTCTCACACGTTAAGGGTTGAACTTCGTGTACGTAACTTTTTGAAAATAACGGTGAAAGTTCTATCGTTGTGACTTCCACCGTGTTTGTAATGTGATTTGGGGTAGCAAGTAGCGCATACAACTGCAAGCGTAAGGCTACTTAGAGAATCTATTTAACCATCTTTTAATTACTGAGGAAGGGAAAAGCCCGTCCATGGTTATCTATCTATGTACCTACTTTTTTCCTTTCTCGTTCTCACAGGAACTTTCCGTCAGTTGTTATCTTGTTGTGTTGTTGTTTACTTCTAGAGTTTTCGAGCTTGTACTTTGTTATGCAGTGATACTTTTTGTATGTTTTTGAATACTTCCATCATCTTGTAACGAAGTAAAAGCAATATGAGTTTTGAGTAATTGGGCATAGTTAGTATTGAGCAAATCGATTAGAGATGGTAGCTTGGATAATATGCAGGCAGATCTGGTAACAACGCATCACTTCAGAGTGGTACGTTGTTCACTATGAAGTGATGCGTTGCCACCCAAGAACCTCTTAGGGAACGGCCATAGGTTGTCGGTGTTGTCGATGTTGTCCGTGTTGTCGGTGTTGTCGGGTTTGCCGAGGTTGCCGGTCGTTGTAGGACCTCATGATAGCCTCCACGTTTCGCGCGCTCTCTAAACTTTCTCTGACCTCGACAACTCCGACAACATCGACAACACCGACAACACCGACAACACTGACAACACCGACAACATCGACAACATCGACAACCTATGGCCGTTCCCTTAAATCTCCCGCTCCGAGTAACTGCATCCGTTCATAGAAATTTGTATCGTTGCATGCTCTCGCACGCTGAAAAATGATTGGTCACGCGAAAGCAGATGAAAGTTGTGCTAGATTACGCTACTGGAATGGGGCATGAAGGTTATTATTACTAGGCTGACAGTGCCTGAGGCGTAATTGCCGCGTTGGTAGTTTATCTGCTAGTGTCAGTACGTAGCAGTTTTATTGAGACAGGCGACCGCTCGCATTGGAGCAGTCTTACTTAAGTACTTAGCCCGTCTCACTGACGTGCGGGCCCCAGCACAAAAGTTCTCAGGTGTCCCCATCCTTCGCTTCAGACATCCACGACATTCTTGGTTGCCTTCGGTGGCGTGTCCATGAGTTCCAGGTGCGGAAATCGTATCCAGCTACATAATTTCTCAGGTGGTCCATTCGTTCCGCGAACACGTCTGTTCATCTGTTGGAGATCTTCCTCGGGACATTTTGCTTTGCGAAGAATCCACTCTATTTCTCAATGTCCATTTGTCATCTGTTCTTCTCATAATGTGACCGGTCCATCGATCGCTTTCGTGACGTATTCCGCTGGGCCACGAAGACGGGACGTTTCTCTCATATCCGTGCTACGACAAGATGTTGCTTGTGTCGGGTTATCTTCAGAGACTATGCGCTAGCGCTCTGTTGAATGGTCCTAGAGCTTTCGACGTGACAAGTCGGTCTCACAAGGAAACGATACTCAATGTCCGTGGATTTTCGAAACGTGATCCATACTATTTCACTCGTCTTCGAACGCTGATTCCGAATCTGCCTTCTGTTTCTGCTAATCACTTTTCTGAAAGAAGTTATGGGGGAATTTCGAGCCAAGGTAGGCTGCTCAAGGGAAATGTGGTCATTGGAACGGCTTCTACCGCGGCCACTTTCTGGTCTAGTGTTTAATGCGATAGCCTTATAAGTTGATGCAGGTGTAGGTTCAAGTCCTTTTGTGTTTTTACTTTTGCATTACCTCAATTAAGCTTGTTCGAGAAAATTTACTTGAACTATGATCAATGGATACAATTTAGCGCAATTAGTAATCATTTCTTCCAAATTTCCACATTTTTTGAAGAGTAAGGGCGTTCACTTAGCTCGATTATGCGAAAGAAGGTTAATTGAGGCAATGCAAAACTGGAAAACACAAAAGGATTCGAACCTGCAACTGCATCAACTCATGAGGCTGTCGCACTAACCACTAGACCACAGTGCACCGGTGACCGGCGCTCCAACCCTATTTCACGGGACAGCCAGAATCTGCGCAATCCATTATAACATTTTTGAAGCGATTAGCAGAAACAAAAGTTAGATTCGGAATCAGTGTTCCAAGACGAGTTTAATGGTATACATATCATCTCAAAAGGCCACGGACACCGAGTATCGTTTCCTTGTCAGCTGCGTAACAGGTTGTCGGGAGAACGGCTGAGTCGAAGAGGTGGGCTCGAAGCCCCAGGCTCGTCAGTTGGTCGGTGGCTTCCTTCAGAAGCCTGAAGGCGGCCCAGGCTGCTCTTCTTCTCTTGTTAAGTTCCCGTCAAGTCATCCACGTTCAGAGCGTCCAAGATACACGTAAGAAGACGTCTTTACGATAGGATTGCCTTCCAGTTTTATTTCCGCATCTTTGGTCTAGGACACTCTTCATAAACTGAGTTTTCATCCGATTTATCCGCGAACTGATCTTCTTCCCTACTTCGTTTAGCTCCTTCAGCATCGTTCGCTTTAGTGATACTGCTCAAAAACAGAACGATGTCATACGCAAAACGAAGGGTCGATAAGAATCTCCCATCACCTCCTATGTCTCTCTCTTCCAGTCTAGTGACTTCATCACCCACTGCAAGGCCGCTGCGAACGGCTTCGGCGTAGTGTCAGCTAGGAACCCCTTCCCAAGTAGGATGGTTAGGGGGCGATGGCATAGCTGCATCAGTCGACGAAGGTTAGAACGGGAGGCAGTCGGTTCCCTACAGACTTTTATAACCCTCAAAACTGGGCTAAATCGAGTGTCCCAGATATGCGGGGATAATCTTCGTGAAAAGCTTGCACCGCACACATAGCACACAGCTGAAGATCGTTCCGTTCGCCCTTCTTAAAAAGAAGGGCGGTCCTTGAGTTCTCCAGTCGTCGTGAATCCTTTCCTTCTGAGGGTAAGATGTTAGATGCGACGCGAGAATCTCGTGACGTTGCTCTCCGGCTCGCTGAAGTTCGACGGAAAGATTATCTGGTCCTGGACCCGTGGACGTCTCCATGGTGTGGATCGCGGTACGCACTTCAGCAGGTAGAATCCTTGGTGGTACTTCCCCAATGGGAACGACGAGCACCGGCACGGGTTTTGATGAATGGAAGGTTGGTGTAGGAGTTCTTCGCAATAGATGCGATCTTATATCGGGGAAAGTCGAAGTCCTATGTTCGAGTAGTGCAGCCACGGTACATGATATTCACAGAGTTCCCTTCGGCATTTCCTAAGATTGCGTCTTCCTTCAGTTGCATTCAGTATCTTGGCTTGCCTGTACTTCTTGAGATCCTTCTGCAAAGCTGTTCTGCAACCGTTATCAGTCGCTCAAAATGGGTTGCATTCGAACGCTTCAGAAATCTTCTTCTTTCAAGCAATTCTAAAAAGCATCCAGTTTTGACTTGTTGGCTGCTGATTTGAAGGTAAGCAGTTGAGATGGGCATTAAGATAGCCGGTCGAGGTGATGGAATCTCCTACGAACCGACAAAATGGCTGAAACGGACAAGATCCACAAAATGGACAGAGTGGAGGACGATGGAGGTGTTGGCTTGTAGAAGCCAACACCTCCACGTTTTGTAATAGAATTTTTTACCAAAAATGATGTGTGTTCGTCAATTAGCAGTCGCATATTAGGACATGGATGGACAGTCCAGGGCCTAGCACGAGGTAGCATTTGAGAATCTTGGAAACGAAATCCCCTTTGACAGTGAGGGAATCATGAATAACCTTTTGTGGACTTGTGGAAGTACGGCTTGTATTCTGCAGAGAACGATGAATGAATCAAAGTGAAGAAAAACCAGGAAAATTAGAGATAAAACGACAGAACGCGAAAAAAAATGAGGTTTTTTTATAGATATCATCAAGGACCGTAGCAAAGGAGTGGGGTCTAAATTTGGGTTAAAGTGAGTACTAATAGGTGGAGCTTGAACCAGAGAGCAGATTTATGTAAACATTTTCCAAAAATTATGTGAGAAAGTGGGTAAATTATGACTGCGTTGGGTCTCGCGCAACCTCAGGGTGCTCCCAGGTTGCGCGGGAGCAACCTAAAATTAAAAAAAACACAACTCCTTTCAATCACGTAATTTTCTTATAATTTTCCATGCTTTTCTTTTCACCATCGTCGCGAAGCTATATACCAAAGTGATGGCTTAATATTGCTTAGTGGTTGTAAACAAATTAAGTGTTTATGTTTTTGTGTACGAAGACCATGTTTTAACACGATGCAAATCGTGTGCACGCAAGTTCGTGCACTAATCGTATTTGTAACATGTTAGTTTACCTGTTAGTGGTAAAATAGCGCTAGAGCCTTGAATTTGGAAATCGTGCATAATTTACGAAGCCGGGAATCACCCTTGAAAACACTATGATTTCTCTTTTGCTTGCCTCCCACTTCTGCTGAGCCCTGGGACAGTCCCCAGTGTTGTGCCGCAACATGTCATTTCTTTTTGATCCAAGCGCCCTGAGCAATCTGAAACTGGACTTGCTACCTTTTAGCACCTTGGCTGGGTTCAACTTGCACGGTTTTCCCTCTATTCTTCTTTCCCAGCACCTAGCTTACGCTCTTGAATAACGTCCTGCGAGGCCGAAGGCCGGAAACGTGGAACTCTTTCACAGAGGAGTCCCTACCAGACTACAGTCGTGCCGACGATATGCTGCCTTTCCCAGCAGCTCATGCGCAACGCTAGAATCCGGTGCTGCGTTCGCGGTCGTACGGCGTGAAATTTCAAATTTGCTGCATCGATCGGAGGTCGCCGCGCAATGCCCACGCGCTGTGGGTGCGTAGTTGCGATGGAATAAGGAGTAGTGGTTGACACAAATTGTATACGCTCTGCTGCACATCGCAGTCACACCCAGTGTCACCCTCCCGCGTTAATGCCAGATTTTAATGGATGGCGTTGCTGATAATAGAAACTCTCCTATACGAATATAATCGATAAATTGCGCTGAATTCATTACCACGTCAGCATTTAACCATAGAACATCTTCATATTGTTATGAAAAACGTGATGCTGTCATAGTTTAATAACCGCTACTTGCACTCATACAATCGGTGCCGTAGCTCCGGAGGACAGTCGAAATTCGGCAGAGCTGCGGAGGACCCAACTGACCTTTGAGAGCGGTGCGAGGGTCTCCGGGACACAAAATGGGAGGGCTCCGGAGCACAGATTTGCGCGCTCCAGAGGTACGCCAGATTTGGGACACCTCCGGAGCACAATAGTTACGCAGCCAATTTGCTGTGAACGCAGCTTAGCGTTTTCGAAAATAAGCTGCCGTCGCTCTCGACTTACTCTTTTTTGTCGTTCTTTCGCGCTCGTTTTTCTTTTTTTGGTTTTTCGTGTTACTCGTCGGCGCGTTGGCGTTTATGTTGCTTTAAG